TTATAAGCAAGCCAACGCCCGGCAAAAGGCGTAAGCCTACATTTTGGGCGCCAGACAGATCTGGCCACAAGAAAAATGGAAGAGTTCAGCCAAAGAAGTGGCCGGTATACTTCTGTCACACCTCTTTCCATTCTTCATAAACACGAATTGTCAGCTGCCCAATGGAGGCGGCGGTGTTGTTTGGCGCTTTGCGAAGTCAGCGCATGAGTTTGAAAGTGTGAGTCCTTCCTGGCCCGCTTATGATTTTTACCCACTTGTTCCAGTTGCCCATGTCGCCGGCAGGGCCCGCTGCTGCTCAATGACACTTGGCTGGGAGAGGGCGAGTCTGAGCAAGGGCCCGGGAGTGGGACGGCGAGCCTTCAACGCGGGCTGGCGACACGCCTGAAACCACCCGAGCCAGCGACACTACCAAAGGTCCCGAGCCTTGCCGAGAGTGCCGTGCGCGCACGTACGTCAAGAATGGGTTCTGAGCTTCTTTTGCAAGCTCACGCAGTCGCGGATGGCTCTGGGGGAATTGGTCTGATGAGCTTCAAGCGATGCCACGGATTCCCTCGGTGATGTGGTTCTCTTCACCAATGGGCGTCGGTGTGACCCTCCCAACCTCCGACGCCTCGGTGCGGATCAGGAGAAGGACCTGCGGAAGGTGCGGAAGCTGAGCGGGTCAAGAGGGGCGGAGAGGGCCAAGAGGGGGTTCGCCCTTCCGAACGTGAGACGGAGCTGCTGTTTAAGGCCGCCCCACCTGCCGGGAGTGAACCTCGGACCTGACCTTCCTCCAAAGGGTGGTGTTTTGAAGCCCACCTCAGAGCGCGTCAATCCATTTTTCAACATGTCCGTCTGAACGAAGCCGCCGGACAGGACAGCCTCGGCCGATCAGCAGGTCAAGGCACTAGGAAAGGAAGAACACTGCTCATTGATCTCCTTTTCGCTCGCTCAAAAAAAACTTCAGAAGTATCCGGAACATGTCCAGCGCACCATGAACAGGCCAGATGGCGGGCCTGGCTGGCCTGAAAGAGAGGTTTTGTACACTCCTCATGATCAACAAAACGGCACACTTGCCCAATGGAACTAGATAGGACCTTCCGGATGGAGAGTTCATCGGCGACATACTGTAATACAGACCCTGTGATCTCCGAAGAATTCACCGATGCACAGGGTGCTGCTGACAGCCTCAAGGGCCACGTCGAACAATGAGAGCTACAGCTCAGTGGCTTGTAAGGGCCATGCGCAGCTGGCAGGCAGGGGTGGGCACGAAACGTCACATTGATCTACGAACAAGTTGCGCATGCAGGGGCAAGGATGATCACATGCAGGGGCATGTGTTGGCATGAGAAGCTGAACAAGAGAATCGGCATGGCAATCATTTCGGGTGTAAGGCTTGTAAGGGTTGAACCATGTTAAACCTGTGTCGTTGTGTTGATGTCGGTCAATTCCGCCTACCTTCCTCTCAGCTCGATGGCGCGTGTTGCTCACTGTAGCATGAAAAACAACATGCTGTGATACATGCTGTGATGAATTGGCCGCCTTTGGTCGCCTTTGGCCTTTGGGGTAGCGAACAAATATATACAGTACATCAATGTACATCATGTTTTTTCTTTTTCTGTTTGTTAAAGACCCTTCCTTCTTTGTTTATATTTTTTAAAAAAGCAGGTTTATCACCATCACCGACATGATGAACCCTTCAACTCCACCACCGTGGACCGGTGTTCAGACCGGGTCGAAGACCGGGACCTCGCCGTCTCGAGAGCGGTTGGCCCAGGGCTTTTCCTGAGCCGCTTGGCCAGGCGGAAGTCCGGTCGCGTGTCGCGCAACGAAGCGTTCCGGTGGAAGGAGGGATGCTTGGATCTCGAGGATCATCTGAAAAGGCGGTGGACTTTGATCGAAAGAGATCAAAGGCCCCTTGTTAAGTTCAGAGCCTACGTGAATTTCTACGTCCTAGGTTTGTACTTTTGGCCAGCCGGCAATTTGACACAGCCTTAGTTTGGGGATGAAGGCCTACTAGGAGTCTATCATTGCCTCTGCGGCAAATTCGGGTGACAATGTGATCTTTAGACTGATACAAGAAGGGGTTGTGTTGGGGCTCGATGTCTGGGAGGTTGAACTTTGAGAGGACGCTAAAATTCAAGGCGTGGGATTTGATTTTGATGAGTGACTCTACGAAGCCTGTCGACTCCAGAATGCCGCGGTAATACCGTGGACCACGTCCGGTTGAGAACTGCACAGGCTGATCAAAGCTGAGCCGTGCCCTATGGTGGTGCTCTCCTCCAAGTGGCAAGAGCACCTTGGATGATTAGGGATGACGAGTGGATTTGTTGCCCGCACATTCAACCAGAGCCCTACCTCGTAGTCATGAGGAAGATCTTTGGGACGGTTGAAGGAAGACATCATGCACCACACATGGTCGACATCAGGATTTCTTCGATCAACAGGTGAATCAGCGGCGCTGCCGACCATGTTGCTAGCTCTCTTAGTGCAGTCAAGGTAGATGCCCACCATGTTCTGTAATTCAGTTGCCGCTTGGGTAATGGGACCGCGCTCCTGACTTGGGCTTCACTTCCGCGGGGTGGCGGCTGAACACTAGCAGCCCAGGCATGAGAGCAAAGTGATGTACCTGGAGGCAAGGCGACTTCTTGGCAAGAGGGTTTTCCTGGATGTTTCCTGTGGCTCTTTACACATTTGGAATCCGAAAGCGGCTTGAAAACACGAGAGGTAAGAGGGAGAAGTGCCTAGCTCATGCGCTAGCTCATGCTTGCACGTCGGTCCTTTTTTCTGGCCTCCTTCGGAGGCTTTCTGTCGTCACTTCAACCCCCACATGACTTCTTGCATCATTGACCAACCGGCTCACGTCTTGTTTTATTACCATTCTTGTTTTTTATTACCATTCTTGTTATCATCATCATTATTGTTACTTTTTCAAACGCATGATAAAACGCCACTGAACCACACGAAAAAAGAGCGACGCCCCCTGCCGGAAATGGGCGGCGGAAGAAGAAAAAGCGTCCACCTGCCCGGTAGCGGCGCCTGTCGGGAGCAGTGACTCTGACTGAGCTCTCAGGGAGCTTTGGCCGACGGGCGTGGTGGGCTTCTCCTTTGATGGGCGAACGGGCGTGGAGCCGGTGAAGACACCCGAGAGCCGTTTGCTCTCCATTTGCAGGTGAAGTTCCGGAGTGTGGAATAGGAGGGAAGAAGTTTTTTCAGGTAGTTGGAGGTAAGTTGAGGCAGTTGGTGCTTTCTTGGGGCAATTATAACTGCAAGTTCAGGGATGTTCTGCAGTTCAGGGATGTCTGGCCACCATGTACATGGCACCTCTACTCCCTTTGCAAGTCGGAAGGCAGTCTCAGGGTCTCTGATCCGCCCATGCCGCAGATACATGGAAGACCTCTGCCAGCACCGAGATGAGACCTCTGGGCCGCCCCTTGGGTTCAGCCGAAGTCCTTTTTGGCAGCCCTTTGTTCGGGATCAAGTGAAGTAACAATGGACCGGCTGGCTCGGACAACAACCAACAAACACAGAAACACAACGCAGTCAACATCGACTGGGTGACCGGGTGAGATGAAGAACCTTGGCCAGATCTCTTTTCTTTTCTGTACGAGCAAGAGTGCCTTCCAATCGACCTTTCTCTTGGTGGTGAAGAATATTTTGCCCAGAGACGCCTTTAGGATTTGAGTTAAGCCAAGAGTTCTAAGACGGTGGTCATCTTGGAGTTCATATATAAGCCTAGACTCGTTTGGATGCGCTGGAGTAACTCCACCCGTCCAAAGGGAGCCGAGTGCCATCAGAAGCAGCTCTGAGAGTTTCCTCGTCCACACGTGCAAGGGACGTATCAACAAGACCTCCCCGGTTTCGCAAGAGAGGCGCCTATATACAACCATCTTGGAGACATGACCAGCTTCCAGTGGGTTTCAGATGTCATGATTCTATCTACTGGACTGCTGGAGGATGATTCTACCGACGCATGAAGCAGCTCCTCACCTTCCGAGTTCATGCAACAGATTCCAATGAGGCTGAAGGTGCTCATTCTGGAGGACGCTGTTTGGGGCATGAGTTTCGGAGCGTTTTGTTTGGGATGGAAACGTGGGACCCCGGACGTTGGGAGCGAAGGCCGTTGGTCCATGAGATCCGTCCTGACAGTCGTCGCGAGATCTGCTCAAAGCAGCTCCCGCTTTGTGGCGCTCGGCACTTCCGCACCCCGTCCAGCTTTTGCTTTTTGAAAAAGGCTTTGCATTTATCCTCCCCAACAGGGTGAGCTGGACCAAGAAAGGTGCCATTTCGAGGCTCAAGAGGACTGAAATCATCTGACATGAAAAGAGCAAAAGCTTCGAGGCGCTCTGTACCAATCAAATCCAATATATAAATACAACATTGAAGTCGCTGGGGAAACCTGTCAAAGGCGCCTCCTGAAATGACGACTTGGATGTATGATGATGTATGTTCATGTATGTCCATCTCCACGTCATGCGTAAAACGTTTGCTCCCAGCAACTGAGGTAAGACTCAACGACCTGCCGTGTTTGTTTACCGAGGGTTTGTTTTCAGGCCAACTGCTTGACGACGACCCAAGGCCTTGACATTCAGCTGGGCTGTGGCATCTCACAGGACAAATGGCGGGGGAGATGGATTTGTGGACTTAGTGTCCTGCAAACATCGCCGTGACCACCACAGACCATGATCACGAATCCACACTGAGCCTGGGTTGGTCTCAAAAACTCCCTGGCAGGGTCTGGGTATTTTTATCCATGACGCGTCTTTTGGGTGCACCCCTACGAGGCTTAAGAAAGTGCTAGCCCTTCAGCCTCCCCCAGGGTTTCGTATCATCTTCCCAGCCACTGCCTGTGTCTTCTTTGTTCTTTTTCAGTCCCACCAATTCAGGGGACACTTTCATCACAACCAACTTTCAGTGGTGACTGGAGGCGCCAACTCCCTCGTGAGGGTAGACTCACGAAAAAGAAAGATCAAACACGAAAAAAACCACGAAAAAGACCTCTGTAAGGCCTCGCGTTTGCCATGGGACCCTTTCAGATGTCAGACAGTTGTCTCAGACTGCGCCGCCCACCGCGTCTGGTCCGAGTCCTGTGCCTGCGCTGCGCGCCATTGCGGGACGTGGCTACTCTGCACCGAGGGGTGGCTGCTCTGGCGCTGCGCCAGGAGCATTTGGAGGAGGCGTTGAACTTCCTGAAAGCTGATGGATCTGGGTCGAAGAAGCGGAAACGTGAGGAGGAGGCCAGGACTGTCATCCAGCTGTGGAAGACTTCTCATCAGGCGAAGAGCTTTCAGAAGTTGAAGTGGGTGCAACTGAAGATTGTTCACTGAGATTGGGAACTTATGGACTGGATGATATATATATATATAGACTTGTAGCGCTCATTGGGAATTTGACGCAACGCCGCAGGGTAACTATTCTTATGGTGCACAGCAGCCGATGATCCAATGACCGGGGGGGAGTTTTCCTCCTCGCTCTTCATGAGGCCCAGTGGCTGAGACATGCTGAGACCATTTCTAAGGAATCTACTGGTTGGCTAGGATTACAGGATCTGCTGGGGAACCTAAATGAAGAGGACTCAACATGCAAGATCTTCACCTCCAGTGATCTCCAACATGGGCCGTGGCCAAAAAACCTTTCCAGACTGGGGGACCTACGACCAGGTCAACGTACCGGTGCAGCTGGGGCTCCCGTCGGGTCTGTGTCAGGGATGAGGCCGGCTGCGGCGCAAGGGGCCCAAGGGCTCAGCAGCACAGGAGAGCAAGGGTGGCACTGAACAATGGATTGCCAGACACGAGGATGTGGCTCCACATGAGACCTTTGATTCCGAATAATCCGATGGGAAAGACAAAGGAGTCACACAAAGATCAAACGCAATAGGTTTGGCACCTTCGGCGTGCGCTTCCGTGACGCGACGTCACTCGGAGTGTGGCCCGGCCGACTCCGTGAACTCGACCCGCAGAGCTCCAGCTCTCTCGACAGCCCCTTCCTACCTCTCTCGACTCTCGCCTTAGACCCTCCAGCTGAGGCATGTAGATTGGGCCAATTGTTAGGATTCAGACTGAGAGTCAAGATGTATGCATGTTATGGATAGCAGTGGAGGGAGTTCGGACAACGCCGGCAGGAGGACTCTTTGGGGTCTTGGACGACTTGAAGCTTGTGATCTCAGGACCTGTCAAACAATGCTTGTCCTCATTTGGAGGGTTAGATTGCACGACGTGGGTGGAGTGGGCGCTTTGGACGATGCTGGGTATGTCATAAAGCGCCCCTCCATGATTGACAAGACCGCAGAGCCTTTACATAAATACGCTTCCAAAAGATGAATGCAACGGTTTGTAAGCTTTCCCACTTTCTGCCTGCGTGACTATAAATTCGAGGTTCGAGCATCCCACAAGCACCAAGACAGCGCGCGCAGGAGGCGCTCTGCTGTTTGCCGGAGTGGTGGCTGCGGTTTTTGGACCTTCCCGAGGCTTGCTCCCGTGTCATGGCACTTAGGAAATGCTGCTTGATAGCTAGTGATGCGTTTGCAAGAAAAGAAGAGTCGAACGTGCAGCACTTCCCGGCAACCCGAAGATGTTGGGTAAGACTGGGAGATATTTTTGTCTTTTTCTAAAAGCTTTGCTCCAGCCTTGCCTTGCGCAAGAGAAGCATCACAGACAAGACGTCTTGTGTCCTCAGTGGCCATGGTCTTGGTTGTCTTGGTTTTGATCACAGCTTCCCTTGTGTCCTCGGCTACTTCGGCCAGAGCTTGCGCGCCTTTGAAGCAGCTCGGTTTGTCCCAGCTTTGCAACAGCTACTTGGAGCAAGGCCTCGAAGCGAAGCAGCTGTGCAGCCTGGAGAAGGAGGACTTTGATACTTTGGGATGGAAGCTTGGAGCTAGAAAGAAAATTGAAGAGCACTGTTCAGGTCACATGGAACACTCTCAACAATTCAAAAGTATGGACAGGCTGCTTCGAGCAAAGCCGGGCTAGTGAAGCCTGCAAATTCAGAGAATGATCAGTTATTGGCCTTGGCTGTAATGAAGGAGCTTGGCTCAATGGCCGGCCAGGAGCCACTGGAGTATGCTTTGCACGAGATCATTGCGAGATCACAGCAGTTGCTGAGCAAAGGAGTGGACGATTTGAGGCCTATCAAGCGCCACCGACGCTACGGTCCGATTGTGGAGAAGCACACCAGCAGGATCCGAGAACTTGGGAAGAGATATCAAGCATTGGAGCTAAATGCCAGTGACTTGAATGCACCATGCTGCTGTGGCAGGAGCAATCAGCCGCTCCATCTTCCGCATAGCTACAACCAAACGATCGTAAAGAACGCCACCGGAATCCGACCCCCAAGAACCCGCTCTCACAGGAATGCCTTGAAGAATGGCAAAGAGAGGCCTTGGAGGGTGGAGATGGCATTGGTGTTTAAAGAACCCGACTTCCGAACCATGCAGGCGTTCAAACATGCAAAGCAACCAAACCTGGATACTGGATACATCACTTATAGGCCTGTATGAGAAGTTGATGTTACTGCAAGCGATCTTAAGTTCCACACTTTTTTCCTTTCGAGGCAAGACGGATGCTATGGGTCTATGATGGTCTATGTGGTAAGCTATGTCAGCAGGAACTTAGACCATTGCCAGGTCAACATTGGATTCCCTTCGTACCTCCGTCCTTGGGCGGCCAACCTTCCAAGGACCAGAAAACGAGTGGTACATCCTCGAGGACACGGGAGGTCTCCCTAGGCATGTCCGGAGCGCTAGGTGGAAGTTCAAGAGGCGGTGGGGTCAAGTTTGCAGTGCTTTGAAGATGGGATATGTCGACCAGCTAAATCGCCCAGTTGCAGAATGTTGCGGCGTACTTACATCTCAATCCTGCCTGAAGCTGAACCATCAAATATGTGAGTTTGTGTAGAAGAGCCACAAAGTGATGTGCGGGTCGAGAACCAGGATTGCCTGGGAAACAGTGCTTCTTCCGCCTATTCATCTCACCCAAAACGGAAGACCTGTACGCCCGCAGAGGGTCAAGATGTGGCACATGTAAGCGATGACATTATGATACTTGCATATTTGCATATGGTTTGTGAGCTACTTGTACTCTGGCGCTCCGCAAAAAGAACGAACGCTTTTACTGGCGGAGATGGTCAATTTAGAGAAGCTTTGACATTGAGTTTGACACCTGCGATGGATGGCAGCCAGATAAGACGAGAGGATAAGATGAGCGCTGCCCAACCGGAAAAGTCCAGTGGTTTCGGACTTCTACCAGTAGTTTTCGCGCAAAAAATGGGGCCGCGCACTTCGAAACTCTTTGGGTCGATAGGCCGGTCCGTGATGTGGCTGGATAACGAGAATTTTTTGGAATCACATCCATCGATGGTTGGTGAAGAGGGATCAATGTCAGGGTTTTTACCATTCCCCCTGCTCGCGGGCTGATCTCGGCAACAGGGAGGAGGTCGAACTGGTCGGCCTCAAACAGATGTGGGGGATGGCTTTGGATGGAAAAATCTTGAAAATACTTCAAGGACCCAAATTGATTAATACATTTTTTAATTCTTCCACTACGTAGAACAAGATACTTTACGCCTATACAAACCTTTGTAATCACCACTAAAATCATATTTACGTTAGAAATTTCAAATCATTCTTTAATCCGGAAATACGTATTTTTAATGATATAACAAAATAAGTAAATAGAACTAGATATATATATATATATATATATCTATATACGAATATGTGTCTATATAAATTGATATTGCGGAATTTATAGGTTTAGATTATTTTATATAGGAGAAAAGGATGCGATTTTACGTTCGTTTACGTATTTTTATAGTAACGGAGCCGATTCGGGGGGAGAAAAACGAAAAGAAAGGGAAGGAAGAAGAAAGAAAGGGAAAGAAGACAGATAAAAAGACAGAAAGATTGATGAAGAGGTAGTAAAGGTTTTGGTGATTGTATTTTAGTAATTAGTGATTGTGGGCTAGGAAATTATTAAGATTCTAAGGAGATGAAAGAAAAGGACGTATAGAAAATTGGGGAGGGTTTTATAATAATTAATAAAATCGTGAAATCGTTAGTATTATTTGAACTAAATAACGTGGAAGAGAAGATTTCGTAATGGTAGGATTGGTGGTTGACTTTTAGAAATTGGATTTTATTTATAGAAGAAATTTTATAGTAAGGAATCGAGGTTATAGGAGGATTGGATACGGGTGAAATTGGTAAGCATATTCAAGGAGAAATAAAGAAATTTTATTTTATTTTGGTTGGCTTTTTGAGGAATAGAATAATGGAAGGTTATAACGATATTGAAATATGATTTTAAAAATAAAATCGATATTTTGCTTTAAATTTTCTTGAATTATTTTGATTTTATAAAGGATAAGGGTATGATTATGTTGGAATAACTTTTTGATTTTGAAAGGTTGTATTAAAATGGTTAAAGAAAATATTAATGATAAAATTAAATTAAATATTTGGATTTGGATGATTATAGGATTTTTAATTTTTTATATTTTTTTTAATTGGAATTTTATATAGGCATATATTATTAATATATTTAAAGTATATTTTAGGATTTTTAATTAGTTTTATAATATTTATTATTGAAAATTTTATATATTAATAATATATTTTATTATTATATTATTTTATTTTAATATGTATAAATTATAATATATATATATATTTATTTTGAAGGAACTATTAATATATATATAATTATATGGTTAATTTATATTTTTTATGCAAATAAAATAATTAATATAATTTAATATATTATATTTATTTTTATTTTTGATATATATATATTATTGAATTGATGGTAAAATATTATTATCGCTAAAAGGAATATTTTTATTTTTCTTTCGATTTTTCATTGTATTTTTATTTTATATTTTTCTCGAATGCGTAGCGAAGGGTTTTCGTCTAACTTTGAGGGTAGAGTTTTATTCGCGATTCGTTATTTTTATGGTCGTAATCGTCCGTAATCGTCGTAGATATTTGTAGTAGAGCCCTAACGTATTGTTATTGTTTTGGCATCTTTTGCAAGTAATTTTTTATGGAAGTGTTATGTGTTAATTTGCGAGGCTATTTTATTGCGATTTGCATGAAAATGATATATCGTGTAAGACGCGTGATGTATTTCGCTGCTTAGGCGTAGCGTTTTGTGAGCTCCTTAGTTTGTTACGCAATTCTATTGGGATTAGCATTTAGATAATCGTATTTTTGGGGTATTGGATATGACCGTGCCATTGGGATTTGCGTTTTAGGGTGTGGTATCGAAGCTTTGTTTTCGTGACTAGTCTTAGCTGAAGTGGCGATTTTGGTGGATGGGGGGAATGTGCTTAGAACGGGTCGAAATCATTCTAAATGTGTGATATGGTGGAAATTTTGTTTCTAAATGTGTGATATGGTGGAAATTTTGTTGAAGTTGACATGAGCTGATATTGGTACTTTTCGTGGCAGGCACAGTGCGATTTTCGCGGCAGGCGTAGGGAATGGTGAGGTTGCGAGGTGGAACGGAGGTAACATTTCGTGGTAGGCGTAGTACTTTGTGCGCGTTAGACGTGGGTATGCGGAAAGATTCGTGGCAGGCATAAGGAATTGTGAGGTTGTTAAATGTCGCTGTCCCAGTGGGATTGGCTGTCCTAGTGGGATTGGCGTGTGAATAGATGTTGTTTGGAGGGGCTGGATTCGCGAAACTGCTTGGCAGGGCTGCGTGATGTGTATGCTCCAAAGGGTGTTTCCGCTTGACTTTTGGAGGAAATCTCGTACGACATGTTCGTTTTGGAGATTTGACACGTGACTTTTGGAGGAAGTCTCGTACGAAACAAGAGTGACCATAAGTGAGTCCTACAAGAATGTCCCACAAAATGGTCCTACAAGAGTGTCCCACAAGAATGTCCCACAAGAGTACCCATAAAAGTGTGCCGTAAAAGTATCCCACAAGAGTTTCCTACTAGAATGTCCCATAAGAGTGTCCCACAAGAGTGTCCCATAAGAGTGTCCCACAAAAGTGTCCTACAAAAGTATCTCACAAGAGTTTCCTACGAGAGCGTCCCATAAGAGTGTCCCGCAGGAGTGTCCCATAAGAGTGTCCCACAAGAGTGTCCCACAAGAGTGTCCAGCATGAGTGTCCCACAAGAGTGTCCCACAAAAGTCTCCTACAAGAGTGTCCTACAAGAGTGTCCCACAAGAGTGTCCCACAAAAGTGTCCTACAGGAGTGTCCCACAAGAGTGCCCCACAAGAGTGTCCTACAAGAGTATCCGACAAGAGTTTCCTACAAGAGTGTCTTGCAAGAGTGTCCCACAAGAGTGTCCCACAAGAGTGTCCTATAAGAGTGTCCCACAAGAGTATGTCGTATGAGTGTCCCACAAGACTGTCCCACAAGAGTGTCTTACATGTGTGTCCCATAAGAGTGTCCTACAAGAGTGTGCTACAAAAGTGTCCCGTAAGAGTGTTCCACAAGAGTGTCCTACAAGAGTGTCCCGTAAAAGTGTCCTACATGAGTGTCCCACAAGAGTGTCCTATAAGAGTGTCCCGTGAGAGTGTCCCACAAGAGTGTCCCGCAACCGTGTCCCACAAGAGTGTCTCACAAGAGTGTCCCTTAAGAGTGTCCCACAAGAGTGTCCTATAAGAGTGTCCCACAAGAGTGTCCTACAAGAGTGTCCCACAAGAGTTTCCTACAAAAGTGTCCCACAAGAGTGTCCCACAAGAGTGGCCTACAAGAGTGTCCCACAAGAGTGTCCTACAAGAGCGTCCTGCAAGAGTGTCTTGCAAGAGTATCCCATAAGAGTGTCCTACAGGAGTGTCGCATAAGAGTGTCCCACAAGAGTGTCCCACAAGAGTGTCCCACAAGGGTGTCCTACAGGAGTGTCCCCCAAGAGTGTCCTACAAGAGTGTTCCACAAGAGTGTCCTACAAGAATATCCGACAAGAATTTCCTACAAGAGTGTTTTGCAAGAGTGTCCCACAAGAGTGTCCCACAAGAGTGTCCTACAAGAGTGTCCCACAAGAGTGTCCCGTATGAGTGTCCCATCCTACAAGAGTGTGCTACAAGAGTGTCCCGTAAGAGTGTCCCGTATGAGTGTCCCATAAGAGTGTCCCACAAGAATGTCCCACAAGAGTGTCTTACAAGTGTGTCCCACAAGAGTGTCCTACAAAAGTGTGCTACAAAAGTGTCCCGTAAGAGTGTTACCACAAGAGTGTCCTACAAGAGTGTCCCGTAAGGGTGTCCCATAAGAGTGTCCCACAAGTGTGTCCTACAAGAGTGTCCCACAAGAGTGTCCTGTATGAGTGTCCCATAAAAGTGTCCTACAAGAGTGTCCCGCAACAGTGTCCCACAAGAGTGTCCCATAAAAGTGTCCCAGAAGAGTGTCCCACAAGAGTGTTCCACAAGTATGTCCCGTAAGAGTGTCCTACAAGAGTTTCCTATAAGAGTGATCCATAAGAGTGTCCCACAAGAGTGTCCTACAAGAGTGTCATTTGGACATATAAAGCTTTTCAATCGTGTTTGCATTCCTATTCGTGGATTCCATCTTATTTTTTTATTTTTGTTTATATTTTTTTTTTCAGATATCATATTAAATCCTTTATCGGTTTTATATTATATATTTTTTTTTCCGAATAAACATTTCGATAAAATTTGCCAATATATATATATTCTTTTAACCAAATTCATATTATTTCTATTATATTTATAATAAATATGTCAAATCCTAAAAAAAACCAATTCCTTAATAATATCTTCAAAATAAATCCTTCTAATTAAAATTACATTATTATATATCATATTAATATATAATATCGCTTTTTACATATATACGCTTTTTAAAAAGGTGAATAGATATTTAAAATTTTATCCGGCAAGGTTTTGCTAGCCCGGGCCGACCCTTAAATATACGGAATGAATATACGGTATAATTTTAATATACGGTCAACTTATATAGATGTGGCGGCATTTATTTGGTATTGAGATCAAACGCACTATCTATTATGTGGAGGCCCTGTCTCGTTTCGACTACTTAAATAGAAGGTCATGTCATATCATAGTATCTCGCTCAGACTACTTTAGTCTAGGTAGTCCCGGTGGTAATTATGTCGGCCTAGGCAGTGTTGGTGGTGCTCTTGGTGGTCCCGGTGGCCTTGGTAGTCCGGTCTTGGTGTCTCGGTTCGGTGGTCTTGGTGGTGATCGTGGCGGGCTAGGGGGTGTTGGTGGTGGTCTTGGTAGTCCGGTATTGGGATCTTGGTGGTCGTTTATCTAGGTGGTCTTGGGGGTGCCGGTGGCTTTAGTGGTCTTGATGGTCTCCGGGGTCTTGGTGGTATTGTTGATGATTGTAGCGGGCTAGGCGGTGTTAGTGATGTTCTTGGTGGTCCGGTCTTGGCGTCTCAGTGGTCGGTAATCTTGGTTATGATTGTGGCGGTGATAGTGGTGTTCTTGGTGGTCCGATCTTGGTGGTCTCCATGGTCTCGGTGGCGTTGGTGGTCGTGGCGGTCTAGGCGGTGTTGGTGGTCTTGGTGGCGAGTCCGGTCTTGGTGTCTCGGTGGTCTTGGTCGTTTTGGTGGTCCCGGTGGTCTTGTAATCTTGGTGGTGATTGTAGTGGTCTAGGCGGTGTTGGTGGTATTCGATGGCCTTGGTGGTCCAATTTTGGTGTCTTGGTAATAATTATAATAATCTACTTATAAGGAGGTCTTAGAAATATCGATGGCCTTGGAGGTGTCGATGGCCTTAGTGGTCTTAGCGGTCCGATCTTGGTGATCTCCGTGGTCTTAGTAATTTTGATGGTGATTGTGGCGGTCTAGGCGATAATGGTGGGTGCTTTTAGTTGTGTTAATAGTCCTAGCGGCCTTTAAATATTTCAAGATTTATTTCAAGGTCATAAATAAGCAAATAATCTTCCAACAATGCGAACAATGCGCCCTTTCGCGAAAATCCGTATTTCTATTCGAGAAAAACAATATATCATATATTATGCACATTATATATAAATTTAAATTAGCACAATCTTTCGCTATCCTATCGTCGACGACAATTTCCCTTTCACGACATATATATTTTAATATTTAATCGAACTTCCTTCACTAACAATAACGGACGACCCTCATATAACACCTCCGAAACCAATTATTCTAAACCAACGAAATCTAAACATTGCTTTCCAGAATCGATTATTTTAACCACCACATATTAAAAGATATTGCCATACAATAATATACAATTAATAAAATATTAAATTCTATATTATTTTTTATATTATAATTTTTTTGTCCCCAAAAAATCTAATTAAAACTATATCAAGAAAAATTCGCCACATCCTATTTATTCAAGCAAAAATCAATAAAATATATTCTTTTTCAAATTATTTACTTATTATTACCAATTAATATATAATAAATACTAAAATTCGAAGAATTAACGGATAAATATTACAAAAATGACTTCGAGTCTATGCTAACATAACTATAATATATATAAATAATCAACAATTAAAAAGGATCAATTCAAATTTAATAAAACAATTTATATCCATAATATTTTTTATGTTCATGTCATGGTCAGGAACATATAGCCATAGTCATGAATTTTATGATTTTAGATTTTGCTTTTGCGGGTTTGGGTTGCCATTATATATCCACTGTGATCTAGCACTTGCGGTTGAGGTCCGGCAGTGCTACCTGAGATCTGGCGCTTGCGGTTGAGGTCCAAGACTGCCCACTGCGATCTGGCCCTTGCGATTGAGGTCCTGCGATCTGGCGCCTGCAGTTGAGGCCCAAGACTGCCCACTGCGATCTGGCACTTGCGGTTGAGGTCCGGTATAGTGCCCACTGCGATCTGCCGTTGAGGTCCGGTAGGGCTGCGATCTGGCACTTGCGGTTGAAATCCGGTAGTGCCCACTGTGGTCTGGTGCTTGCGGTTGAGGTCCGGTAGTACCCACTGCGATTTGGCAGTTGCCGTTGAGGTCTGGCAGTGGGCACTGCGTTCTGGAGCTGGTGGTTGAGTTCCGATAGTGCCCACTGACCTGGCACTTGCCCTTGAGGTCCGGTAGTGCCCACTGCGATCTGCCGTTGAGGTCCGGTAGTGCTGCGATCTGGCACTTGCGGTTGAAATCCGGTAGTGCCAGTTGTGGTGGCAAGGAAGGAGGAGGATGGAGGAGAAGGAGAAGAGTTCTGATTAAAATCAATCAACCCTCACCTGGCAGGTGGGGCAATAGATGGAAGTAGTTATACACCAATCTCCAAAGACCCTTAAAGAAATGGTTAGCCTGGTTTTGTAGTGTAATACCCTTCGTAAAACAATGGTTCCTTGGTAAAGACCTTTAAATCATTTGTTGTACATGTATATATTTAGATATATTTATTTTCTTTTGCTTTGTGTTTCGTTTTTCTTCGAATCGGCTTGAGAGATATCAGCACCGACGCCATACACCACATGTCTCAGTTGTTCAAGCATCAGGTGACTTGCAGCTGGAACATACCCACTTCTGTCGGAGCTCTTGACACTCAAGTCGGAATGTCATTGAAGAAATGTGTCATAAGAGTAATCATGAGTGTCCATCCATCCATTGATCAATCCTGCCATTGATCAAGGACTCTTGCACCACCCTTGCATGCCGAATCGTCCACGATTTCCGGTACTAACAGGCAGTTTGTTTGGTATGCAAGATGAACCCGTCGGAAGACACAGTGGACATATGACTCCAAGGCCTGCACGTCTCATTTTGAGGCGCTCAGCACGGGGTTGGTGGCCTGATGGATCTCCTGAGCGATGAATATTCGACGGCAGGACAAAGCTATTGTTTGTTTGTTGGATGATGGTGTCGAGGGATGAAACCATTGATATTCATGGATTGACCACGACTCTTCCAGGCCTGTTCACAAGAGGTTCCACAAACAACAAACCATTTGGCAGGGCTCAGAACCAGAGGCTCCTGGCTTGACAATTTTGTTTTTGGACATCAAAATTCATCGGAGTCTTGTATCTCAGAGTCTGGGCGACGTCAAAAACATGCAGAAACATGTCTTGGCCCCAGGCCAGGTGCTCGGCGTTTTTTTGAGCGGGTATGCAGGTCAGTGGTTTTTTGTCTTGTCTGTGCATGTCACTGACGGAACATGTCTGGGACTTGTTTATGCCTCACAAATTCACACCCACAGCCAAGGGTTCACCGAGAAACTTCTTCTGTCGGGTCACAACCTTGTCTTACAACGTATCTTTTCAATGGATCCTCTTACATGATCTGAACAAGGGTCCCTCACACCTGGACCGAGTCGGCCAATTCAACTAACATCGAGTCGGTATATAACAATATTGTGGCGAATGGTCATGGCCAACAAATCGTGGCGACCCCTTCCAAAAATACTCGGAACTTTGTGACTTGCCGACGCATTTAATAAGATTTAATACACAGTGCCCAGAACCTTCATTCATTCTTTGGGTCTTGAAGATCTTGATCTCGAGCAATCGAAAACACAAAGAAACCTTATGAACACGTGCCCTTTCGAACACAAGAAGGGTCACCAGAATTGCTGCTGTTCTCTTTGGTTCAATGAATCCACAGCTACCAGGTTCGACTGAGCCCAGATTGAGCCCAGCAGCTCTAATCTCTGACCAACTTGATGTGTGAAGGTCTTTCTCCACCTGCAGTTGAACGAGGTCATGGACGGCAAATGTGAGGCGCTGCATGATCTGTCATGATGTTCATGTTGTATATATACTGTAATATCTTTCTGTATAACTTTACACACACATATATATATATATATACATATATACACATGAAGAAACAAACAAACCAACACGCAAACTATATAAAGTGCCCTCAGCCCCACAATGCAAAACTGCTTTGGTGGCAAGGTTTTGAGTGCTCAACTCGCATAGGCCACCCTTAGAATCTCTCTTTGAGTCCCTCAATTGCGACATCAACCATGGCAGCCAGCCTGCGGATGGTATCATTTTGTCCGCGGAGAAGGGGGGGTTCCCCCGATTTTGAGCGTGAACGGTTTGGCAGGAGTGGCTTGCATTTCTCTGGCCCCCTGACTTTGGACCCCCACCATGGTGGTTTCAACACATGCTTCACCATGCACCAGCAAGAAGAGACAAAATTTCACCGTATCATACCGTATCGTATCTTATTGTACATAGAAGACGTTTTGGGTCGAAAAACACATGGCTTTTGTACAGGATTCCCCCTGCCTTGCTCCCTCCAAAATAGTTTAAAAAAACTGGTGTTGAACCAGATTCCTTTCATTGGTCATTGGCACAAAGTGTGTTTTTTTTTCACTGCCATCTGTTCACTCCGGGGGGCACGCCATCGGTCTCAAGAGACCCTCCGTGTGAGACAAACAGCCCCTGGGACCACCTCATCGGACTGAGGGGTGTCATGGCCGGACATCGCCGTCTTGACCCCCCAACCGATGCATGCCCTCCGTTTCTTCGTTTGGACCCGCCGGGAGGGTTGTTTGGAGCTGTTCCTCACCTGGCCTTCGTGGAGGCCCACCTGCCACGGGCCAAGAGCGAGCATTGCCGAGCTTTCATTCAAGCAATTACTCAATGTTACTCCATGCGCCAAGCTTTGCATAGAAGTGAACCATCGGTTTGCAGAGGAACCTGAAATTCCATCGAATGATGAGGGGACATTTTCCACTTCCATGTTATGTATATAGATAGAAACCTTCTTGAAGGTGCAAGCACCATCTACCTCAAGGCGCATTGCCGAACAAACCCATAAGCAGCATTTTCCACTTCCATGTTATGTATATAGATAGAAACCGTCTTGAAGGTGCAAGCAGCATCTACCTCAAGGCGCATTGCCGAACAAACCCATAAGCAGCTAATAGACTCAGCGCATTCTCATCGGCTGAGAGACACAGGATCATGATATTTCATGGATCCATCAATACCACCGACAGGTCCGACACCAAACATATTCCATTGTTCCGGCGTTGAAGCGACTGTCTGATTGAGTTTGGTCTTCATCGGCTAGTCAATGTGGCAACGTTGGGCTTTGCCCCGGCACAGTAACAGTGACCACAAATCATACCAGAAAAAACAGCAGATTAGCCATAGTTTGCATTAGGATGACTTTCATTTGCCTTTTAATGCTGGCTGCCATAGTCATGTACCACAAAACCCCTCAAGTGAATCGGGTGCCCATTTTCATCTGATCGCATCCACTCGCAAAATGATCGAAAGTTCCGATCCACTCAAAATGGTCTGGGAGTTCTGCAAAACATCATATGGCAGGGCTGGTAAGGGGCTGACTTGTGTTTTTTGTGGTATGATTTGTGGTCACGTTTGTGTTTTTTGTGGTATGACTGGTGTTTTTGTGGCATGATTTGTGGCCACGTTTGTGTATTTTTGGGTGCTTTTTTGTGGTATGATTTGTGGCCCAGGGCGGAAGACGACCACAAATCAAGCCACAAAAAAAGCGCCCAAAAACAACAGGAATTTGGACAATTTTGTGTTTTTGGGGTGGGGAGCCGGGAGCGACGGGGCGGGGAGCCGGGAGCGACGGGGTGGGGAGCCGGGAGCGATGGGTGGGAAGCTGGGAGCCAGGGGGTTGGGGAGCGGGGACTTGGCTCTCATCCTGCTGTGAGAGCATGAACAAAAGATTAATCTTGTGGTAAGCAGGGTCAATCATTCTTTGAATTGCCACTTGAGGTTGACCAATTAGTGAAGTTGTTTTTGGTTTGCAAATATGTTCAGATTTGTGTTCTTTAGCATTAGCCCGCCCAGTGAACCAATCATTTTGCATTTCCTAGACCAGAACCCGCCCACTGATCCAATCGTTTACATTTCCTAGACCTGAAATTGCAATCCAATTTGCCTAAATGACTTTGAATATGATTGTGGTTTTTGGGGGTATGGTTTAAGGGCCCTGACCCTTTACGACTGTTACTGTGGGGGGGGCAGGGCCCAATGGCAACGTTCATCTTCATCTGTACAGCGTATTTAGTACCTGGTGAAGCTGTAAAGCTTTTTTACCATCAGTGAGCTCGTTCGCCACGTGAGCTTGATTTGGCTAAGCAAGCGTATGTCAGAATCATGTAGTGCTAGGATGACCTTGAACAAAACAGGACGACCAACAGCTGCAACTAGTATTGAACCACAGCTGATAATCAGAACTGTGCACCCCACACCCTAACATTCAACCTCACTTGGTCGACAAGCCGTAGGACTTGGGGAGATTGATTAAGGCTACGTTGCCGGATGCTGCAAGGGGGTTGACGTCAATTTCTTGCAAGATCAAACTCCATGAAATTCCGCCCACACTGCCTCCCACTAATGGAAGATGAATAAGTACAAGTTTGTCACAAGCTACTGCAAGGGTTGCCCTCCTATCAGTCTAACATCTTAGAAAGGAACGGACCTTCCAATCGCAAATCATTCATGGCCCACAAGCTGCTTGGAATCACTTTTATTGCCGCCTTTCTGGCAAGAGTGCTCTCTTGAGCCCTCACTTTGTGAGAAACATGTTTGGAGTTCCTAAGTAGTTCAAGCCTCCAAGATGAAGCACCGTAACTGTAGTGGTCTGTAGTTATGATGGGAGGTTGGAATCTCTAGATTTGGCCGGGCTAAGTCTTTTTGGTGGGCTTTTTCAGTCTCCTGGAAAACTAGAAAATCCTTAGTACTGAAATGGAGCATTCTCCGTGCTCGTACTAGCCTCCACTCCTGCGGTTGCGGACCTCTGGGCCGATTTCCGATTTTGAAATGGTACATACTCAGGACTGGTGGGAGCTGAACATCTGACTTCATGCCAAAGACTTAAAGAGCTCTTCCAGACTCTCATCTGGGGCACCGCTGAGAGTAAGATGGGCTCTTTCGGGCTCGAAGTTCTGATTGAGTGCAGTATTAAATGTGGGTTGACCAGAAATGACAGTGACCTATTATGTCCATTCCATTGGTTGGTTGGTCGGCTGGCTGGCTGGTTGGTTGGTTGGTTTGTTTGTTGAAACATCTAATTGACACGTAGAGCCTTCCAAAAGCGCAACATCTCCCACCAGATCTGTTTACGACGCCCAGATCGCGTGTTTTTGCGAGACTGGGGTGGTGGACTGAGACAGTCGCAGGAAGGTGGAAAACATGAGGACTCGTGACAAAGAATATGGCAATATCTAAAGACTGGCTGCAAATGATGCACCATCGCTGCAAATGGGCCGCCAGCTTCAGTCTATCTATTCCGATTTGGTGACTACTAAACGTGCCGGGGCTTTTGTTGGATGGGGGACCTGAGAGGTCTGTGCTCTGTTGATAACAAAGTCCCAATTGAAGGGCCAAGGCTGCTGCGTCAATTCCTTGGGGCCCCATGGTGCCTCAGCGTTCACCTCCGTACAGTGGTTGGTTGAATGATGCTGGATGGGCGTTTGGGTACACCCATGGGCTTCAAGTCAATCCTTCCTCCCCTTTAAGACCCTACCAGCATCTCTGCACCCCTCCTTTAAGGGAGAAGCTCCCTGCTCTCCTCGAAAAGCCTCTTGGACCAGCAATTAACGTCCGGACAACGGGTGTGGTTGGTTGCTTCTTTGGGGCGGAATCGTTGGGTTAGCCTTGTAGCCCTTATCTTGTAGCCCTTATAGCCCACACTGATTTGTTTGATATAGTGTGTTTGTCGCAGAGACTACGTTGCGGCATTCCATGGAAGACTGGGTTAAATATCGCTGTTGTATTTCACCGTGCTTGGATAAGTTGAGTCCCCCGCAGTAGATAGAATAACCCGTCAAATTGTGATCTATGTTGAAAGTGACCCCTTAACTTTGGTGAGGCATAATCTTGGACGCCTCCGGGATTGAGGGGCCTCTCTCCTCATGAAGAGGTTTAATCCAAGAAGCCCTCCGCATGAAGAGGTTTGGCCCTCCTCACAAAAAGGGGCCTTAAAATTCTTTGGTGTCTCCTCACGAAGATCCAATCTTCTGGGGCCTCTTCTCATGAACAGATTTTGTCTTGGTGCCCTCTCCTGATTCACCCAAACAAAATAAAAACATCACGCTTCTGACACCTCACACCAATAAGAAGCCTTCAGGGGCGGGTTGGTTATAGATCCACCTTCATTTCGCTCACGTGCCATGGCACTTGTGCACACGTCCACCTTCTTCCTCCTGATCAAAGAGTTTGCGGAAGTGGTTCTGCTCGAATTGCGCATAGCCACGCATGGTCGCCATCAACTCCGTGCAGGTGATGACGCCCTGCAGCGGAGCGTGGTGAGTGGAAGGCGTGGAGCATGGACCAAGGGACCAGGATCGGATGCGGCGAAGCCGTGCGGTTCAACATGTGTCGCAGCTCCCGGACATGTTGCTGCACGATCTGAAGCTCCAAGTCCCTTCGCTGCAAGCTCAGTGAAGGATGGTGAAGACCGCAGTGAAGACCGTGGTGAAGACCACGGTCTTCAGGGCCCAAAGTTCACAAACCTACCGGGCCACTCTTAGCTGCTGGCTCGATCCGAAGGACACTCAGTTGATTTGAAGAACAGGTTGACGTCACTCGGTTATTGTCGCAAAGTGATGGAACTCTCCGTCTCCAACTCAGGCCAATCTATGACTTGTTTAGCAGGTTGCCTCATGTGAGACAACCGCCCAAGCACTTTAGAGCATGTATATATGCATTTTTTTATCTATATTGACGAAGCCGACGAAGCTTGATCCCACAAACCTCCACAAGGATTCGTGAGGCACTTTACAAGCCCCCCCCTTGCTGCAAGCTTCCCCTTCCCCGCGATTCGAGTGGATCTTGGAAGGGGAAAAACACCACATGCCATAGGAGAAACACCACTTCCACAAAGGGTATCGACCCAACTCCTTAGTTGTTCATCAAGATCCAGGCCACTGCAAGGTGAAGAGCAACTGGCGTAACTCTTCGAGCGCCAGCTGATCCCTCAGGTCAAATCGACCCAAAACAGGGCCATCGATGGGTTCCATTGCCTCTGCATGAGGCATCTGCTCAAAAAGATTCGCTGCTGTGCTGCCCCACGACATTTGCTAGTCAGAGTTGCGAAGCTCAACAGATCTTGAAAAGTCGGCGCTTGCCTTGAAACCTTGAGCCAGCCAGCAAAAAAAATACTTCTGAATACCTTAAGGAGGAGAAACTGGAGACATGTCAAAAACATGTCAATCACAAAACTACCCGAATCAACAACACATAGCTATGAGTAAACAATAAGTTAAACAGTCTCCAGCCCCCCGACGATTCTATAAACCAAACACATATCACTGATTTTTAGATTGCATTACATAACGTACGTACAATTCTAACCACTGGACCACACTGGACGTTCTAGGTTTTTTTCATGCCGGCGGTTTGTCCGGCGTTTGTCCCGGTAAGGCTGTGTCAATATCTCGATTTGAAACCCTGTTCCACACAAGGATCTTATTCACGCAAATTCCACCAGAATATCAAGTGTCTCCCAGCTGCTCGAGTTTTCTAACGAATCCATCACTTGGGTCTCCCTGTTCAACAGGAACTCTAGCTTTCGTTCCGTTCTGAACATCAAAAACCGTTGTTGAACAGGAACCACACAGATCGATGTCTTTGGACATCCCTCCGCATCCTACAGGCTGCCTGGGACTTTGGAGCGTCAAGGACATCTTCAGCACCTTCTCTGCACCGAGGCCTGCGCGCGCGGCGCTTCCAGCGTGTCGTCTGAAGATGCTCCACGGAAGGGACGCAGTCCGTACAGTTTGTTCAAACCTATATATATATAAATATGTATATATATACACATACAATCCTTGTTTTTTTTTTTTTCTCTCTCTCTCTCTCTAAATGTTTTTATGCACTCCCTTCAAAGTTGACATTTTGCTGCCGCATTATACCCATCTGTTTACTACCGCATAATATCTATGTATAATACTAATACAACCGAAGCAGTTATATATTATAAGTATAGAATATGAAACGATACAGCACAAACAATTGGGATTCTACACGGTACGGTGTTTTCTTCATGGTTTCCCTACCATGCGCGCTTGGTCTCCCCGCCTGCTGCGCCTCCATGAGGAGATCCGCTCTTCACCTGCGCATCGTGGGCGGCCCGGCGGGCCCGATGCCCTCAGTTCCCCCAAGTTTCTGCTGGTGTGACACGTGCTTCATTTCAACATCTCAGATCAATTTTGGTATAGTTGGGTACCATAAACATTCATAGAATACTCACAACTGGATGGTCAGCTTCCATGACAAAATAGGTGTGCCACATTGCGCCATGTTGAGCTGAGGGAAAAAACATCTATACTCTTTTTTGGTTGTTGGGCTGGACCCCAAACATTGAAGGGGAAATGCAAAACAATTAATTTCTTTGCAACGATATTCCACCCTCAACTAAACGAGGCTCTGGATCAGACAAGACAACATCGGAAAAGGAACTCTTTAGATATTTGTGCATGAAATTGTGAGGAAGTGCAGCAAGCAAAAGGACGCTTATCACGAGCGTTGTTCCAAATGCATGAAAAAAACCTTACATACACTTATATATATATATATTTTATCTAAAATTAAAACGTATGCTCTAGTAGGTACCCACACCGGGTGGTAGCATAGATAGGCACTTGTGTTGGCAAGAGGTATGACGGTCGACGCGTCCAGAGGGCATGCAGCTTGACAGTTGACGCGCCCAGAGGGCATGCAGCTCGACATAAGACATGACAACAGGCAGCACGAACAAGCAAAACCAAAGGGTAGGCATGATCATATTGCTGCACCACACAATCAAACCCCACTACATTCATCACCACCGCCACCACCACCACCACCATCATCGTCACCATCCGTCATCTCCAGTGCCATCATCACTACCACCTCGTCGTCCATAGTCATCGTCTTTACCACGCAGGCATCTACATCGCCATTGTCATTGTATCGTCATCATTATTGCCATCTGAAAACAGTCATAGGGTCACACGGGCCGCCGTACCGTCGCGTCAATAGTCGCAGCTGTTACCATATTACCCCACTACCGCCCCGCCAAACCACACTAGAGACAATGGATCCATACGTCTTAGATTTAGATAATGTATATCACACCTTGGTGGTTTTCTCTGTATTCAATTTTGGGAGAGGCATCCAAAATGGCTACTATCAAAAAACATCTCCCACCATTTGAAGCATGTCAAAACCACTGGATTTTACTACAGAAAGAGTTGCATACCTTTGCTTGAGCTCCGAAACCCTATCCTGCATAAGATGCCTTCCAGGTCTCCAAATCACTTATTTCCACTACAAATGGGCCTCTACAAGATGCTAGTACATGCACCAACACCAATTTTACTACAAAAGTCATGGAGAAAAAGTAACCTTTTGTAGTGGTACCTGGTCACGAGGATGTTTTCATGCTATTGTCGCTTGCAGACTTGTGCTGTGCAATTCAAACAATATGTTCCTTGCTGTTCTTCAGGGCTTGACCTGGGACCTAAGCTGTTTTGGATGCCGGTCACAGACCTGCAACATCTGCATTTATCGCCAAGAAGGGCGGTCGCTGGCACCTGGTGTTTTTAAGCCCATTGTATCACTAATTTGTCGTTGTATCATCCCTGTCATCATCTTACTATCATCATCTTACTATCATCATCATCATCATCATCATCATCATCATCATCATCATCATCCTCGTCGTCGTCATCAGCATCATCATACTATCATCATCATACTATCATCATCATCATCATCATCATCATCATCATCCTAATCATCGTCGTCGTCGTCGTCGTCGTCCTCACCTACGTATCATTATATAGACTTAGACATATTGTCTATATTGTATTACTGATCATCGTCTATCATCTCAAGAATGGTCAAACGCGGACAGCTCTCTACCGATCGAGTCTTCCCTCGCCTCTGCATCGAGTTTTTGCGTAGAGCGTGCTTCCGACCATTGGAGGTGTAGCCTCGGAAAGCAGTGTTGGCCAAACACCTCCCACACCGCAGCAAAGTGTTGTTCCGAACCATGTCAACCATGGTGTTCACCTATGATTTCGATGAATTGACCGTTCTTGAAGAAAAGACCAGTTACATCATCTGTTCATGACAGTTCATATCTCAAGATCTCTTCAGCGAACGCCAATCTGCTTGGCTTGGCCCAGTTGGCTTGGTTGCGAAAACCCTGCTTGCGCACTGTGTGGCCAAAGAACGGCTCGTGACCGCGCGCCTACCGCGGTAGTACGTCTCCGCCACGCAGAATTTAGGCACATCAATGGGGAGGATCTGGGTTCATGACCTGATAAACTTTTGTGCACTGATTCGCAAGATTCGACTTTTGCCTGGCCACACATCCATGTGAAGAGAGTTCTTTAGGGGAGTGCTGAGTGCTGGGCATTATTGTTCATGTGCATCATGTGCCCAGACTTATATCTGGTGCACATGCCTTATGCATGTGAATCAACAGAAACTGCTTGGAGTTTGGCAGACCGGACCAAAGGCCTTCCAAATGTCTTCCAGTCGCATGATTCAGTTGGGCCCCTTTTCAGTGCACCAAATGACAACTTCCAGAGGTCGATGGTCTTACAAAGCCCTTGGCTGCGGCGGAGCACGGGAATGGCACTCTGTATTTGTTGGATGTGTGCCCGCCACACTAGAGTGTTCTGAGCTCCCCTCACGACTGCAAAATACATTCTCACCCCATGTCTGCTCCCTGTCATGCCATTCACTGGGACTCCCCCGACTCCTGCACCCGCAAAGACGCCTCTCGTCATTCGAGGCGAAAGAAGGTGCGGCGAACAACGGGATGTTGTTGGGAGTGTGTTGACTGGCACAGGTGGGAGTCCGGCGTTGGACTTGTCCTCAGAAGAGACATAGCACGAGAGTCCCATGTGGTCAGGGATGCAGGTCGAAGCCGGGGGGGTAATATTCAAGTGGTGAAGTAGGAATGCTATCGGAACAATGAATGACTCAATGGCGCGCCTTGACTCTATTTCACCACAACACCAACATGGTGGCTTCTTATCTTCATCAATGGTGCCTCCAAAGAACTCCTTTTGCAGCTGAAGTGGGACAACGTCAGAGATTGGTGCAAAGAATGTAGCTGACCTGTCAACCTTGGACTCTGGTTTCCCACACATTTCCGACATCTGATCTCCTTGCCGACATGCTGAAAGCATGTGAAGACCCTGAAACATCCACGTGGGCATGTCACCGTTGGCTCAAGCCTTCGTAACACAAAAAACACGTCGAGTTTGAAGAAGTGGTCGAGCCTCTCCCAACAGTGAACAATGCTCCCCCAAGCCCCAAACCCCAGCATTTTTTGTAGTGACCTGTATGATTTTACATTGGTTCTCATTTATACAGATCCAAGGACCGGGGATGCATTACCAACAGCTGCGAGTTCGCCTGAAAGTGGCGACTGATAGCGAGGTATTCTTTACATAATTCCCAAGGGTTAGTCTTTGTGCCGTTTGTTGAACTTAAACACAATACTCTAACTTTGTCCATGTCAACTTCTGTAGGACATGGTACGAGAACGCACGAGGCCCCTCTTCCACTTGCTGTTTCTCCCAAACTCTCCCTTTCCCACTTTGTCAGTCTCCTTCACAAAGTAGTTAAGGTTCGCTACTAGGAGCAAAGGGCATCGCTACTAGGAGCAAGGACTACTAGGGGCTCCTGGCCTCACTACTAGGAACAAGGACGCTACTAGGAACAAGAATTGTCACACCAACTTGCCCAAATCATGGATGATGGAGGGCGCACCAACTTGCCCAAACCATGGAAGATGGAGGGCGCGGTTTCAAACATCTCCATTTTTTTGACTGACTTGACTGTTTCTCCCTAGTTCCAATAGCCCCCGTTCGTGTGCCTCAGCATCTGTGTGGTGAACTCCTAGCCTAGCAAAGGCTGCAAACTCACGCCCTCTGCGGCTTGACATTGAAATTGGGGAGGTCAAACTTAGACCCAGTCAGAAAAACATATGCATATATATATGAACATGTAAAGAAAACACGTGTATATATATATACACACTCTATGGCCTTGAACGTCATGTATGTATGCATGGATGGATAAATGTCATGTAATGTCATGCCATGTCATGCAATTATATATAATGTAATGTAATGCAAAATAATGTAATGCAATGCAATGCCATGTAATGTAATATAAAATATATGTAACATGTATATATACATATTCATACACATATTATGAAGATACTTTCTTTTGACTTTCAAGCTGATCGAGGTCTGTGACCGCCATCAACCATGAAGATACGAGGTCTTAGAAGGGACCCAGGCTTCTTGAACCAAATATGAGTGCTTTGGTCACCTGCGAACCCTTCCTAAAGTGTGTCTTTGTTCTAAAGGCCTCAAAAGTTTGCATTCAAACATGGCCAATCTTTCAACAAGTTGATTCAAGCTTATTCTCACCTGTTTGTGTTTGGAGTATTGTTGGACTGACGCACTCTAAGCATTCTGAATCCTCGTATCTGCTAGCTGTTTTTTCTGACAAAAGAAAACGATCACAAAGGCACTTGAGGGCTCTGCGTCATCTTCATCCCTTCCCTGCCTGTGAATCCGCGTGCCACTCAAGTGCTTCAAGAGGCTCTTCCGCAGGAGGATGTACCTTAGTTGGAGCCGCTTTTCTGGGGAAACCCAAAGGTGGATGTCAAAGGGAACGCATCTCACACGTTCACCGCCTTTCACCCATCCAAAATCCTACTCGCATGTGCTCAGTCCAAGCCAGGCTTGGACGGAGCAACAAGTTGACGTTCAGGATGATTCAAAAGGACTTGGGCAGTCGATCCTCTCAGTCGGGACCCACGTCTTGGTTTCAGAGATCCGAGCCAGTTGATGGAAGAAATCTTCCACCTCATGATGACTCAATGTTGATAAACTGTCTTCAAATACCAAGGTAATTATTCTCATGGCAAATCATCCTGTATACTCCATCAAAAGCTCACATTCTGCGAGGCCAGCAGCTAGAACTAGCCCCTTGCGTAACCCTGGAAAATGTGTCAATCTTGCACATTCACTTATGACATCTTATGACTCTCGACCAGGGGACGTTCAATTTCAGTTACCGACGCCTGACGATTTCTCTCCAGATCTCTAGGTGCTCTGACTTCTCCAAGGCCTCATCTTTGTGTGAGGTCTCCTTCTGTGACGGGAAGGGAAGGAGCTCCTCCATGCCTGGCAAACACATGGTGGAGCAGGGCTTGACCCAGCGTGAACATGCGCACCTGAAGTCTCCTCAAGCCAACAAAAAGGAAAAAATAACACCCATCTCTGCCTGCCACCTGTAGGCGATATAGCTCACGCGCTCCTTTTTTCCTCAGCTGACTGTTCACCCTCCCGGCAGTGGCCCTGGGGGATGACCCGGGGACCTGGAGCTCGGACTTCAGCCCGGGCTCAAGCTGCTTGGCAGGATGTTGCTTCAATAGAGACCTGAGCTCCTTTTTGAACCACTGAAGCGGTTTATATGCCCAGGGAGTTGACGTCAGTAATTCTCGTTGAAAACTGAATAACACATGAAACAGATCCTCATTGTACCTCTCCTAGCCTCCTTCCTTTCCTCCTTGCCTGCTTTCTTTCTTGGCTGGCTTGCTTACTTTCTTTCTCTGCTACCAGGCGCCCACCCTCATACCCTCTGGAGAAAATATGGCAGGGAGAAGAAGAAAAGGACAACCATTGGAAAACCACATGTAATCATATGTACTCTTGTACCTCTCCTTGGTTTTTCAACTTCTTGGTCTATGAATCATTTTCTTTAACGTGATGTTCCTCCATCATCTCCATTGCATCCCTATCACTGTGAGTTCTTCTGCTGATCGAAAACTGGGCCCTGGCAGAAGCAGAAAGCTTCTCCCCTAAGATTCAGAGGAAAACCAACACCTTCCTCTGCCCCCTCTGCGATCTCGCATCTGCGCAAGCCGTAAGGCGGCCAGCTCGGGTGCTGTGGCTCGGCCATCCTGGTAGCTATTGCTCATGGTCGGCCAACACGGTTGCTTTGGCACCAAGCATACACTCTCACTATGGTTGGTAGATGTTGGTACTCGATGGTACTCGATCACTTTGGCATCATACCAATTGGAGCACTTAGTACTTCGTCTCACTTTGGTCCCTCCATCGCTCGATTCCAATCACTTGGCAGCACATTTGTTTGGTGGAGATGCCTCATTCGGATGGGGATCGGGAACACGCTTGAATGTGGGCCGGTGTAGGCAACCATGAAAACATATTCGCAGCCAGGTTTTTGGGATTCTTTGGGTATGTTACGGTATGTTCATTGTTCATCTCTGCAAAGTGAACTTAAAGACCACAAACACCCATAGAGAACATCAACATGGTCTGACCGTCTTCCTTTGCAACAGGGATGCTTTCCTCTCCCTTTTCAGAGACCCTGGATGTGACGGTGGCTGGCATGAAGTCACCGGCTTGACCTGAATTTGCACTGATATGATCAACTACCCATACCACAGTGAACGAGGCTTAACCTCCAAATGTGGGCATTTCATGAGTGCAACTGACTTGCATTTTGCTTGGAGGTTTTTGGAACGCCACGCCTGGCTTTAAACAGCATCTTAAGCACATGTACACCAAACGTTTAATTTAGCAGCATTTCGGCGAGAGCCCAAGCATGCATAATGTCAAACAGACCACAACCATTTCAGCATTTTTATCAGTGTGTGAACTTCTTACTCGCCTCAGGATGTTGAGGTTGTTCCGATTTAACATCTCCTCAACCACACTCACATCAACCAGGGCTCCTCATCTTGCTTTGGCCGCTGCCGCATCTTGTCAATGCTCTCTTCCAGCTTGGCTCTCTTCTTCTCTTCGTCCTGAACATGCCAAGCAGCGCTGCAAAGAACTACAGCAACTGAATCTTGATAATCCGCTTGCTTCCGATCCTGTGGGGAAACTCCGCGTGGAATCGTTGCCACCATGCCATACGGGGCCTTGCACTACATACATCATACATACTGCATACATACTATGCACACCAGTATATACGTGCGAGCACGCCAGTCTATACACGTACCTTGATCTTGCTTGACCCCTGCACTTATGCAATCAACTAACAACCTGTGAAAACTTGCTCGAAGTCGGGTGGCAGCCATGCGGTACCTGCAGTTGGTTGATGTCGATCGCCGCTCAAAGTATTCCTGCGATATCATATCTCATCATATATCTATCATTATTACAATCTGAACTGTAAGAACCACCCCAAACAATTAAACAATTAAATATGTGTATATATATGTACACATATTCACAGTTCACTTCTTTGTTCTTCATTTCTTCTTTGACACACCCAGTTGCATGTGCTGGTCAAAAGTTACAAGGCCCATAGATTCATCATGATTTGCAGCTATCTCTCCAAAAGGGGAAACAACTGTGCAACCTTTGCCAAGGTTTTCTTCTGCTCAGGTGTGTTGGGATAACATGGCGGATAACACCTACTATTGTCACCTCGATGTGGTGAGGTTCATTCCAATTATATAATGGGCACATTATGAGTACATAGAGTTATATAAAAATCACATATATTTCAACATGTTGCCAATTCATTTGTTTGTTTGCATTGGGTTAATTCAGAGTCATTAATGATGATCAATGGTTAATTGGTTGAATTGGCGTACGTGTGGTTGGGAGGTTGGGTGGTTTTGGGCCTTCAGTGTTCACACCCCCTTTGTCCAGCAACAGAACGTCCCACTCGATCATCTTCCACACCTACTGACCTAGTGCGCTCCTATAGACAATTACATCCCCTTATATAGAACCCCCAAATAGATAGAAAAGTAAAATCCTTTCAACATGTATTGGAAATTGTTTCTACCTATTTGGGGACCGCTATGGCCTGCTACAAAAGAAGTTGGACACATGTCTATCATAGTCACTACAGTAATTCCAACGAAAGAGAATCCCCTTCCAAAGGGCCAAAAGAACTACTGATCGATTTGGGGACCGATCTTCAAACAAATCTGTGTCCGACCACCGCCTGATGTAGTTCTTCAAGGTGATCTCTCTTTGCCTTGCAGGAGTAGAGAGACCGACTCAGGTAGAGAGAGAGAGAGAGAGAGAGAGAGAAAAAAAGGAGAAAGAGAAAAAGAAAGAGAAAGAGAGAGAGAGAGACCTCCCACCTGATTAGATAGAGAGGCTTCCAAAAGCCTCCTGAGACTATCCGAGACTTGGGGTGAACTATCGTGGAGCGATTTTTGAAGTCTCTCTCTCTCTCTATATATACTTCCTATACTCCGTTTCTGGAAGTCTCCAGCTCCAAACCCAGCAAGACCTGTCCGAGAGGTCAACTTCTTCAGAACGAAGGAGCTCAAAAAGGTCAGCGAAATCACTCGATGGGCGGAGACATGTCTTGAACACGTCCGGCAGGCTTTTTGAGACCAAGACAGTTCTGAGGTCTTGGTCTTCCGTGAAAGGGCTTCGGCTTCGATGAACATCCTTTTGCATGACATAAGTCGAAGTCGAGTTTCTGCTGGATGAAGCCTGCTGGTCTGGGGTGTGCAGGATGGACAGGTCTCCTTCTCTTGGGATCCACTGCCACCCTGTCAGATCTCCACAGAAGCTAAAATTGAATCGAATGGAAACGGCACACACTGAGCGAAGAATCCAGCGACTTTCAGGATGATATGCAGCATGCATTTGTGGTCGTGGTTCATGCACCTAGTAGCACAGCCGCCGATTCGGGACCATGCTGTACGAGTCTGTATGGATCTGAGCGAGCCACTTGACCGTCCTCACAATTTTTTCGGATATTGAATTCAATGTTAATTCAACTTACCTTGCCTGGCCCACTACTCTGTCTCCCTTGCGCAGTCTTGCTGACCCCTGCCCTTTGGTTGTGCCGAAGCAACACAACCACAGGATCCCATCTTCGCTGGCAGAAGGCAGTGCATACCGCTGTTCGATTCTTGGAGCAAGCGAAGCAAGCTTTCTGTCCAGTCTACGCCCCCGGGTCCAGCAAACAGGTGCACACTCCTGCAGCAATGCAAACCTTACAGTAGGAATCAAGTAGTCAAAATGACCTGACCTATTTTGCAGTGGGTGAACAAAAGGAGGACCGACCGGCTGACCACAAACAATGCACAGAATACACCGTCTGGGGAGGTCAACCTACCGGGGTGTTCGTTCCGGGGCTCCGGATGCGCCATACGTTGCCTGCCTCGGATTTGACATGAAACAGACTTCCCTAGGCCACACCCAGAACCATGAAACTGCGCCTTGGCTTCATGCAATTGTTGAGCCAGGTTCGCCTAGCGTCGCGGGTGGTGAGATTCTGAGAATCGCAGACTTGGAATGACCTGGAGACCCAGAAACGTCGTTTTCTTTTTTAATGTTAATTTTTTCGTTTCACCCAGGTCATCAGGTCGTCTTGGATCCCTCTCCGAGATATCGGTCCATGGTCGACATCTCGTCAAAAAAGACTTGGGCATTTGGCGCGTGAGGTCGTTTATGAACCACAGTACTGCTCAGCAGATGCCAAGGGAATATCATCAAACACTTGCTCAATTCCTCGCAAGCAACATAATTCAACATAAACTCCGAGACACCTTTTGATCGACATCTTCACTTGTTTACTCTGGGAAAACTAGAAGGTGCCATACTTTCAGATCCTTTCAGCTGCCCCCCGTAAACCTCCCCGGGCACTTGGAAGGCCCGGTACCTGGCACCGCACTGGCCTGCTGCTTCGCCTTCAGGGCCACCGTCTGCCGGAGCTCTTCTTCTTCTGCCTGGAGCGACTGCTGGGGTGAAAACACCCACCCTCTCTGGGTGTTCTCTGGGTGTTTTCAAAGCACGAACATGCAAATAAAACAACCTTCCCTCCAAGTAGGCACTTCAACTCAAGCAGGAGCTTCGGGAAGGACTTGCGCCCAATGATGCATGAGGGCAAGGACAAATGGACAAATGCTGGAAGGTCCAGGTGTGGCACCTTTAATGCAGAGATGCATATGATGTATGATTATCAATGCTCCTGAGCCACTGTATATATCCATATAAAACCTGGGTTGATTGTAGCTTCGCGAAAAGAGACACACTACCAAACCTCCTCCAAAGTGGAGTGACTCCAGCACCGTGCGACGTGCGAGGCTTCCCGGGTCGGTCGGGTCGGTCGTGTCGGTCTTTCGAGGCGGCCGCTGGTTCCAAACCGGGAAAGGAATCCACCTTCTGGGCCATTCTCCCTTAGGGAAAGAGTGAGCAAAACCCAAGTTTTCTTGTCATGTTCATAAATGATCGTCCGAAGAAAAAAGAGATATTCGAGAGACTCGAGCTGAACCATGACAAAACATGGTATTAAATCATAAATCAAATTTTCCTTAACCTCGAGCAAGAAGCATTAAACCCCGAACCAAGAAGCATTAAACCCTGAACCACCTGGTGCAACCGAACTTTCGTTGCATGAGTCCGAAGTTGCTTTAGTCCTACTGCCATGTGGTGGCTCGGGTCGTGCTCGATTCTTCCGTGCTTCTGTGAAGTGTCCAGTCTTGCAGTCCTCTATGATGAATCAGGAATTAGTCGCTCCCTGAATTTTTCATGGACGTGGTGAACCTGCTAATTTGATATATCTAATTTGTGGAGGAACATGGCTTCCATGGGGATATTATCAGGCTATTCTCCATTTCCATGATTGTTCCAGCGAGTGCCATTGGAATTGGGTGTTCAATGTGGTCGCGCATGGCCCTGCATGAGCGGGAAACCTCTGGCAGCACTATATTTTCCTACATGGGTTTGCAACATACCCGGGCAAAAATGAATGCCTTGCTTGCACCTCTCACGGGGGGCACGCTCGGATACCTCAATGTGATTACCCGCATGCTGAAAACAGCAAACCCAGTATTGTTTTTGATCGCTTCAATACTGAGCTCCTAACGTTCAGTCTGGACCTGACACTGAGAAAAAAACAAAACACACACACAGCCACCAGGCCAGCAAGGACTTCGGATCTTCCTGCGGCTGTGCCCAAAAATCCCTTTCCCCAGGCTGCGCACCTGCAAGGCCTCGCTGGTCTGGTTGGCTTGCAGCATGGCACTCAGCTGGGTCTTGAGGTCCCTCGCTCGGCCCTCGGCCTTTTGCATCTCCTGGCGCTTTTCGTTTCCTTTTCACCGAAAGAGGCACGTTTATTTTTTTGGACCATGGATGGACCCAAATCCTTGATCCTGAAGTAGAATTCTGGGAAAGACCGCGAAATGACACAAAGGGATATGGATGGTTCAAACAGGTTTTTCACAGGTCATAACAGGTCTACCTATTGTTATCACCATGGGACTCCCAGTCGTCTCACCGATCCATCCTCATCCTCACACGACAGGCACCTTTTCTCAGCACCACTTGGTCATGAGCCTCTGATGCATCTCTTGGGCAGTGCTCAGGGTCACTTGAAGCTCCCTTGAGAGGGCGGGAAAGCCATTGGACGAGGCGTTGTAGTTCTCCTTCAGCAGCAACTGAAAGTTTTCCAGATTCTCTTCACAAAGACCTCAAGAACGGTTTTGATTCCAGAAGAACTCCGACCTTTGCCGTTGAACTTGGACACCGACTCGAGTCTAGCGCTCCGTTTCCCCACACGCCAAAACAAAGACATCCTTGCGCACGACCCAAATATACCAAAACTTGGGCACTCTAATAAAATACTTTAAAACGCTTCGCAAAGATCGACCTGCTGAGAAGGGTTGGAGACCCTGGCTCAACCGCCTCGTCCAACAGCGAGGCAAGACGCCTTGTCCGTAGAGGATCTCCGAAAAAAAACGCCTCGTCCGGTGGTCGAGGCAAACAATCGAAGAAATCCTCCGAACCCCTCAGTCCCTCGAGTCGCTGTTGGCCACCCGGTGATTCAGTCGAATGACCTAAGAAGGAGAGCAACTGGAGGCTCTTGGCCAATGGCTCTTCATATCCTGGGATGCCAAACAGCCCGGAGAAGGTTCCAAAAATGCTCAGTCGTGGCTTAAAAATCCACTCTTCAGCCTCCTTAGGGTTTCCCAAAGAGGGGGAAACAAGTCTTGCAAGAGCTGCCTGATCGGAATGAATATGGATGACACCCAGGTTTCCCTTGAAGGCTTAAATATGGGCAAAGACAAAGACAAAGCGTTTCGGAAGCATCGCTCTCACCGAGTCTCTCCAACATTCCACGAAGGAAGGATCCAAGAAATTCAATTGCTCGCTCAGGAGAGCCATGCTCGTGGAGATCTTTCGAACAGCTTGGACCTTGTTGATCTCATGCAGATTTTTCATCTCACTCCTTGCGAAAAGGACCGAAGAAAAAGGATGGATTTCAAGGACACCCGATTGATACCCGAGACGCTTGTAGGACAGGAAACATGGCGAAACGAATCATTCTGTGGAGATTAGCCAAACGCTTTGCTTATGGGACCCCGCCCCAGACAAAAACTTGCTACCCTTCCGATGACCTGCTAGGCTACCATCCTCTCCCTGATACGTTCAATCCCCGCAATCACTGACAAATATAGATGCGCACACTCCAATGGCATGGCCCCAAAGGTGTTGGTCTGCCCTTTGGATGTTCTGCTATGTTCTGCTTTCATTGCCCATTTGGTTTCGAAAAACCAACTGAGCAGGGCTCTGAACGAGGTCTGAAGGATGACGTGTGAGCAGCACGATCCGAAGATCCACCCCAGCCGCTTCCGCCAGCTTTGCCAACTCGAAGATATCCTGGTGCAAGTGGAACGGGATCTGGACCATGGCCCCCCGAAAACCACTTCACATGATTTTCACATGCAAGTGGAACCTTGAATACCTGGCGTTTTCGGTTTTACTACACGTTTTCACCAGCCCATCGTGTTGCCATGGCCGGAAAGGGTGGAGTGTGTGGTTTCCCATGGACTCCATGGACTGCGGCGAGCCTGGGACCTGAATTCCACCAGTGCCATCTGCCACGCAACTGTTCACCACAATGGTGCAACAGACAATGGTGCAACCCAAGGCTAGTCTTCTACAGAAAATCCTCTTTCAGGGCGATCATCTCTATAGTCTATAGTCTATAGATGTCTATAGTCTATATTGTACATGCCGCACATGCGTGTGTACCATCAGTATGAGTGGGCTTAGCATGGCTTGATTTACACATCGGTCGATTCCTCAGTTGCTGTAGCCTCCTGTCGACAGGTGCAAACAAAATGCTCAACAACGAACCACAAATGCATCAAGAAAATATGCAAAAGGGTGTCCACGGCCACCGTGCTTTTTTCAAAACGTCACCACATGTCACTGTGATGTTCTTTCATTGGGACCAGCGTCTGGATTCTGCGTGGCCCGATCAACACCCTCGAAGTTGGGGTAGGACATCATACCAATGTCTGCATCCTCGGTGCCCGGTCAGGCCGCCGGTGTTCAGGGCTGGGTTCAAGGGAAGAAACTCGTATTAAACGACATGATTGGGAAGCACGGAGCATGATGTTTTGGTGGACAACAAACTGTTTATCCACTTCCATGATCTTCCTGTGTATTTTGGGACACATAATGTATATAATCATATAATTAATGATATATTATGGAATATGATTAATCTGCTGGCTTCTGAACCTAAATCCACCACCATCAATCAAAAATGACGGGGCCCTAGAAGGACACATGAAGCTCAAGCCTCGCACTTTCTTTTTGCCGCTCAACGTGATGCATGTGAGGTAAAACTCTGGGTGAACAACGCACGGACACGTGTCGTGCGTCTTTTTTGCCGAGTTTCGTGCTGCAGGTTTAAGGGGATCAGCTTACAGCCTGGTGTGATGCTTAGCTCATTGTTCATCTCCGCCATGAGGCTTACCACACGCTGCCCCGACTGCACACGGAGATATTCATCCAAAGAACCTTGCATCAGTTCTTCGAAGGGATAAACCCAAGGTCTGACTGTCGCCCCTTCTCTTAGGGCTCTGTTTCACAAGGTCTGACTTGGTAGCCGGAGATTGTGGGAGATGGGTGCCGACACGCATTGATGGTCCAAACACGGGTGATCATGCTTCCACAAAGCAAGACCTGCCATGGAGACACAGAGCCGAGAGCTCCGGCGGAGCTCCTACCTTTTTAAACATATGCAAACATGCCTCTGATCTGCTGGATCTACCCTCAGACATCCATTCATCAGGGTTGCTCTCAACAACAAACAACCAATGAAACGGCTGGATTCCAGATCAAACATGTCGAACATGTTCGATGGAAGGTATATTTCATAGGAGAAAAACCTTCATGGCAAAACTCTCGGGAACTGAAAAGCCCATCTCCCGTGGGCCCATTGAAGAGGGTTTTGGACAACTCTGCAGTCTGTGCCGAGACGTAGATGGATGGAAGCCGAAGAAGAATGCCCTTCCAGAAATGATGCCCGGTGCCCTCGAGCCCTGCAAAGAACACGAACCTCACCTTAGTCTTTTGCGGGACGAATATGGACCCAATTGAATTAAGAAGCAAACATAGACATAGACTCTAACATGGCATACTCTCCGCAGAAGAGGGGTGTGCGAAGAGAAATGTATTGTCTCAGCAGTAAGTACTGCAGGTCACCTTTGAATTGATAGTTCGCTTGCTGGCTGGAATGTCGCTTGGCAAGCTTCCAAGACGCGCTGCATTCTGCAGCAAGGATGAGCTTAGTGCTTCGGGTGCCTCCTTCGTGTAGCTTTCCCCACAGCTGCCATTGAAATGGGTCTTATGGGCCACAACGAGTACTGCCAAACATGGCAGCAGCGGTCGCATGGGTTAAGGTGTCCGACCTGGCTGCCCAGGCAGGGGCAAATCTGCCCCCGGCCGAGCCCTGATCCCATCGGGTGGAGCCACGACACATGTACGACAGGATGTTCAACACCTGAACTTCCAGCTGGAGGTTGATCCCAGGTCAGTAGGTTTTGAGATGCTTTGAACAATAATCACATGGCCCATGCCCATATAAAAGTTTATCGCTTACTCACTCGGATGAATTTGACCTTTGATGACCTTTGGACACCTCAAAGGGTGTTGAACATCACTCCTCTCAAAATTGGACCCACTTTTGACCTCTTTTGACCAGAACCTCACCAGTCCGAAGCTCACCAAAACATCCGTCCCATTTCTTTACATACAGGTCGTCCATCGATTGGCGCTCCTCCTCAGCCAATGCCAGCTCTTTCTGCTTCTCCTTCAAACGTTGGTTGGCATCGCGCACCTGCCAAACGTCTCCGCGCAACCCTCCACTCCCAAGTGGATGGCAGGCAGGGTGGCCCTATAAAAGGACGCCGGTCCTCCGAACACCCAACATATAACAGGTGTTTGTTTTGTTTTTTCCACATGTTTTTCACATGGCGTCACTCCACGTAACCATGAGGATTCCAGGGAGTGTAGGGACTTCAGGACGTGGTTTGCTGCAGCGCATACCACAGAACTGACGTGTATTGGGAATGAGGAACGAGAATGAGCACTCCCTCCCCTAAGACGTTCCTCAGGATAAATAGAAGCCCTCCAGTTGGTAAACCGGACCCAAGGACTTGAACCGGACCTCATGGACTCCCGTCACGCGAATCATGCCCGGGTCCCCGGGTCTGGGTTGGTTTTAGAGTCCATGCGACCGGTTCTGGGTCGCATCGTCTCGCATCATCTCGCGAGGATCTGTTCCTGGGCCACAAAAGAATACATCGTACGCGTGTATACAATATACATTCATGGCTGCTGTGGACGTTTTTTCGCAGCGTGTTGGCAAGTTACATGCGTTGTTTTCCCGAAGCACCCGAAAGAGCTTTTGAACCTCTCGTGGCACCTCCCGTTGCTTCTCATCGATCTCTTCAATTCGACTCTGCACCTGCCACCAAGGTGAGAAGTCACACGACCCGTCTCCACCGTATCTTCTGTTCCCGAAATGGTCCCGATCAAAAAACATCCGTTGCAGCCGGTGAAAAGCCACCTGCCGGGGGGAGGCAGGTGGCTTCGGAGTGCGAAGCGGAGTGCCAACGGGGTGAAGGTTTGACCGCTCAACGGGGTGATGTCTTGAGACCGTAGTTCAATCCAGGATCTCCAAGTATGGCTAGACTGTGAGCCTCAAATGGGCCTCCTCAAATGGGGTGGGATTTACTTCCAGTGATCACCGTGGTACATCCATTGTACTGAGTCATGTACGCACTGTCAATGGTTCTCCAAGGTCGCATGCCCATCCTCCCAAGGTCCTGCCATATTTGAAAGGCCTCACAGTCATGGATCATGGGGAAAATAACTTTCGCCAGGATGTCACATGTTCTCGACGTACAATTCCGACCAACGAGAAACGCGTAGCTACGGAACAACCTGTGGGAGGTTCGTGTTGTGAAAGATCTCATTGCAGTCAAAGGCTTGCAGTTTTCAGACCTGAAGCACTTGGTCCAATGCACTTAAAATAACAATTCAAAGGAGGGCGATGTAAAAGGCGGCCAGGCTCAAACACACCAAAGTCTCCTTGAACAAGATTGTGTAAACAAGACTTGAACAAGCAAAACTTGTTTCACACAAGCTTGATTCGCAGCTCCACACACCAAGGTCCAGTTTCTTTGGAGTGCCAGTGGTGGCATTCTTTTTGCGATGGTTTACCCCCTCTCCACCCCTTCGCACTTGTGCCGGAACGAAATGCAGTGTTAAAAACCTAGCTGCAGTCACTGCAGTGGTAGAAAAACTGCGTCGGGCTTGAACGACCTGTTCTAAAAGTTGTGATTCAGTCTTGATCTAAAGACTTACGGTTTCCAATTTCCACATGTGTCCACCGACTCTTCTTATTGGGGGGACCGTCCGTCCGTTTTTGACCCACCCTCCGCCTCTAAGCTGCTGTCGGCCCATGCCGGAAGCGTTGCACTGACTCGTGCTGAAGAGAGGCTGAGCTCCTCGAACTGCCACGGAGACCGCTGCTCCGTGGTCCCGTCTCCATTTGACTCGGTTGTGTGTTCTTCGGGTCGCTGTCGCTCGAGAGACGCCGAAGAACATGGACTTCGAGGGTTGATAAGATGGACTTTGATCTTGCAAGAGTTACCAGCTTGAGCTTAGCTGTTCTATGCCCTATGCCTATGCCCCAAGCATCCCAAGCCTTCTGGTGGCCCGGTAGCTGCAGCAATCTTATGGAATATTGAATCCCGAACGTGTCCCAAAACCTTGCTTCATCTTGCTTCCTTTATTTTTCTGACTTCCTGCACGCTCACTGAATCCACTACAGGGATGTCTTCTTTTTGTTGAAAAGTAGCGATGCCCTTGTTACTAGTAGCTTCTTGCGACTAGTAGCAATGCCCTTGGTTACTAGCAGCTTCTGGCTACTAGTAGCGATGCACTTGTTATTAGTAGCGATGCCCTTGTTACTAGCCGTCCACCTCCTCCGCTCCTCTGCACCCTTCGCCAGCGGCGCCCGCTTCTGGCCGAGGACGAACCGCGGGCGCCGCCACGCCGTCCGCGGTCGGTGGAAGTGGCGAAGCCATGAGACAATTTGGAGCGTCCGGGTGGAGGGCCTTTTGGAACCGTTGTGAGGGATTTGGGCGGCGTCCCTCTGTGGTGGGCGCTGCGAGCTCAAAAGGATTCTGACGCTGAGAGTCGATGATTGGATTCTGGATATGATCAAGGTAGAATAATTAGGCGGTTCTTTCACTCAGTTGCCCCTCATTGGGCCCTAAAAACATCAGGGTGGCAAATCTGAGAAGTACTGGGAGTAGTTGCGAGTAGTCCGTGGAACTGGTGGCGACTATATCCTTTGCCCCTGTATATATACATACACACACATATATATATATATACTGTGAAACTCGCTAGTTTGGATGCTGTCTCACATGCCCCGCTCGACGGTTCGAACGTCCAAAGGGCGGGAGGGAGGCTAGTCACATAGAAGAAAAGGCGAGGCGGCCTTCGGTTAGTAGGAACAGGGTTTCCTGAGATCCTAGGGTAGAGATCAACATTGGTAGCGGAGCCTCCGCAAGGAGGCATAGGTCCTTTTTGGTTGGGGAATTCACCTAGGGTAGGTTCACGTGTGCATTTGGTCGAATTTGAAAGTTTTTGTTGCACGACATTTTACCCGCGACTGTGAACTGCCATGGCCGGGGCATCCGGGACCGCGGAAGGCGGCCCTGAAGAGAGATCAGGACACATTTGGAGCATCCTTCCAACCTTTGATCCTTCGATTGATGATCCCAAGGAGTACTCGGACAAGATTCGATTTCTGCATTCAATATGTCCTCCAAAGGACAAGCCGATGCTCGCACCCAGACTTGCCCTCCTGATGAAGGGAACAGCATGGGCACAAGTCAAGAATCTTGACGGTTCGAAGCTGTCGGACCCAGACGGTGGAGTTAAGCTGCTGCTCAGTGCGGTATCCTCATGGGAGGAATCGGCGGAACTACAAACTTACGAAAAGTTTGAACGGGCGCTGTATCGAGTGGTGCAGAAACCTGATGAGAGTGTGTTCTCCTACGTCAATCGGATGAATGTGGCCTTCAACGAGATTGCCAATGTCACGTTGCAGGAAGTCCAGGCTTTCATCATGCTCCGTCAGAGTGTCTTGAATGGGGAAGACAAAAAACGGGTGTTGTCTATGACCGGAGGGGAACTCAAGGCCAAGAAAGTGGAAGCATCTATGCGACAATTGGCCCCGAAGATCCTGGTCGGCAACACCGGAAGTGAAGGCAAGAAGAAGGTTTACCCGGTGAACCTGATGGAAGATGATGATGACCTCAATGCACCGACCTTTGTGACCGAAGAAGACTATGTGCCGGACGAGGAGACGGTGCTCCAGGCGCTCATCGAGAATGGTGATGAAGATGCCTTGATGGTGTCCGAGTTCGAGGATCAGTTGATCGAAGCATGCCAGGACAATGCCGACCTGAGCATGTGTTTCTCGGCATATACCGAAGCTCGTGGCGGAATTCGTGACAAAATTCGAGCTCGAGGATTCTGGCCTCCCATCAAAGGAAAAGGAAAAAAGGGTGCGAAGAAGGGAACTTGGACTTCGAAAGGAGGTTTGAAGAAGAGACAGTCTTTGGCCGACAGGATTGCCAATTCTCACTGCCGATTGTGTGGTGCCCGTGGCCATTGGCGACAAGAGTGCCCCAACAAAGGTTCAGTGTCAGGACCCAATGCCAATGCGGCGGAGATCCATGTCTCGACCCAGGATGGAATGAACGCTGATCCCGAGAACCAGGAGATTTTTGAGAGACTCCCCATTTCACTTGAGCAAGGACTACCAAATTGGTGGCCCATGACCAACTCCTGGATGACGATTCAGGAAATGGTGAATGAGATGCGCCAGAATGCCACACCTGGCGAGGACGTGCTCTCGGATGTGATGAACAGCCAGGTGGGAGAAGAAAATCCTCCCTCCCAAAGTTTTGGGGATTCGAACAGTGAAACCCGTGTTAATGAAGAATTCATTTATGCTGCTCTCACCTTAGACCAAGTGAAACAGAAACTCTCGCGGGGTTTGAGAGGTCATGTGTTTGAGAAACGCCTCAGGTGTGACTCCCCTTTTGAGCCGGTCTTTTTTGTTGATCATGGAAGTGTTGCCATTTTGGACACAGGAGCAAGTAAATCCGTGATTGGAAAAAAGAGGTTAGAGCAGCTCATGCACAGTTTGCCGGACGAGTTTAGGAACAAGATCTTTTGGCAGAAGTCAGAGACAGTGTTTCGTTTTGGAAACAATGGAACTTTATCGAGCTTAGGTGCTGTGTTTTTGCCGTTCGGACGTCAGTGGTTGAAGATCGAAGTTGTTGATGGAACGACCCCCTTTTTGCTATCGAACGCATTTCTGAAAGCAGTGACAGCCGATATCTGCACGTCGAAGCGGTTGTTGAGCATGTTTCAAGGAAAGGTCAGTGTTCCTTTAGAGGTGAGTGATAAGGGTTTGTTTCTTGTGGATTTGACTGAGATTTTGAAACATGCCCAGAAGAATCTGATGCACGGGGATACATGGGAGGTCGTCACCAATTTGACTGATGAAAGAACGGTAACTAGAGAAGAAAAGAAAGAGAAAACACTTGACACATCCACGGCACCGGCAGCAACCCAAGCATCGAGCACAGTCGAATCGACATCCCGCAGCACAAAACCTCATGGCGCCCAAGAAGGTGAACCCAGCCTATGTGGCCACATCCAGTGTGGACATGCCTCTTCCATTCCAGGAAGACCACACGTTGAGCGTGATGCCGGAGTACGACGCGACCAACATCGTGAAGCCACCAGGCATTCAGACCCTCCGGCAATGGGGGGAAGAAGTGCTGGCAGGAGGGAAGCATGTGGGAAAGACCTTTGCCGAAGCTCGGGCCATCGACGCGAGCTATGCTCACTTCATGGTGAAGAAGGGAGACTGCACCTCAGCCTGGGCGAAGAGCTTCCACAATTACCTGAAGGCAATGGAGAATGTGACAGACAGTCATCCAGCCGATCAGAGGCCCGTCATGACATCATCAACAGCCGCGATGGTGAAGAAGAACTGGGCCATGAATGGAGCTATCGCAACAGACTGGGATGTGGTGGACGAATTGAGGAGTCAGCAGAGCGCGGAAGTTCCCAAGGGAATCACGTCTTTGGCAAGTGGGTCGGGGGCAAAGAGGGGACCTCCAGTCAGCAGCGATCCGTGGGCCATGCAGACCGAGATGAGCTACGAGGCCAGTCTGAGGGTGCAACAAATTCAGGCTCAGATTGCAATCTTGCAAGACGAGATGAACCGACTCGTCCCCTCAGCCGAGGAAGAAGCCTAACCAAACCAATAGAGAAGTCGAGTTATGACAGCCAGGAAACCATGACAGCACAGACCCAAGCCAGCACAGACACTCCGATGAAACATTTTTTTGAACAGGAGTTAGCTAACCTGGTTCAGAAGATTGAGCATCAGTTGGCAGAACTGGCACAACACTCGGCTGATATACCGATACGACAACATGCACCACGACATTCCAGTTCGAAGAGATTGGACATCCTGGAAGTGTTTTGCTATCCGGACTCTCAAATCACAAGCATAGCCAACAAAATGGGCTTGACAGCCCAACGATTCACACTACAGGATGGAGATCTCCAGACACCAGAGGGACAGGCAGCCCTTTGGAAAGTGATTGAAGACCGACATCCCAGACACATCTGGACTTCACCAGATTGCAAATACTGGGGAAACTTTGCACGTAGGAACATGGGAAGAAGCAAACAACTGAGGAAGACAATTCTGGAAGGAAGAAACCGGGAAAGAACCAACTTGAACTTGTGTGAAGAACTTTATTTGTATCAAATGCAACATGGGGGCCATTTCCATTTGGAGCAACCCGTAGGTTCGGAGATGCTTGTGCAACCGGAGTTGGAACAGGTCCGTTTGGGAACCCTGACAACCATCTTTGACATGTGTGAGGTAGGACGACTTAATTGGAAAGAAGAATCGTTGAGAAAGAGGACAACGATTCTGACGACCTCCCGACAAATGCATGAAAAGTTGGACTGCAGGTATTGCAGCAAAGATCATGAACATAGGCAGATAGCAGGTCAGGTGAAGTCGGATGGCATCTGGATGCCTTTATCAAGCTTTGCTGCCAAATACACTGCAGGCTTTGCTCGAAATGTCCTCGACGTTGTACAGAAGCATCCCAAGGAGATGCCTCTCTACAGAGAGGAATTGAACATTTGTCATGACGGTATGGAAGTAGATCCTGTGTTGATTGGTGAAGTGTTGAAACGACGTCGACTGTTTGCAAAACAGGATCAGTCTACCGAAGACCAACCCACCCAAGAAGAGGAATTGAAACGAAAGGAAAACCGTCAAATTAGGTTACGGGGTTTGTTTGAAGAAATTGAGAAGTTGGCACCCCGTGTCGGCACCGTGGTTCTTCCGCCGGAGTCAGACGTGTTCCGACAGGCCAAAGAATTTTGTGAATTCCGTTTGAGGCATGCTGAAATCTGTAGGGGAACGGAGCGACTTAGGACACCACAGCCTTCAACACCTTTGGACGAACTAGAATTTCGGAAAACCTTTTCGGTGTGTAGGAAGTCAGGTGAAATAGAACAGGTTGGTGGGGTTGAACGATGGAAGACGTTCTCTCAAAGACAGAAGATCAGAAAGGGAATCCCAGCAAAATTGACTCTGACCTTGTTTGGAAATAGACATGAGGACCCTTCGGACAAACAAACAATAGAAGACACGGAACCTTCGAGACTCGGAGGTCGCAAGAGACAGGCCATGCAGGAGACAAACGAACAAAACAAACGTTTTTGTGAAACACTAGACAATGGACAGGACCAGGGAGGACCGACAGTACCTGGAAGTGAAACGGAAACTCTAGGGAAGGACTTGGAGGATGACTACATTGAAGGAAAACCTCCCCGAAATTTGGCACGACATGGACCAGGATTCTTGAGTTTGGAAAAGGATCAACAGAAGTGGTTACGACAAGTGCACCATCGGCTTGGACATCCGGACGCGGAAACGCTAGTCAGATACCTTCGATCGACCGAAGCCGAGCCTGCTGTGTTGGACGGAGCTAGGGATTATCAGTGCGACGCATGTCTCGAAGCCAGGAAGGGTTTCGATTTACCACAAGCAGGGGCCATCCACGAAGACATTGGGTTTAACCATACGTTGGGTATTGACGGAGTGACCTGGACCAACGCAAATGGAACCAACTTTGAGTTCACCCATGTGATAGATGAAGGTACATTGTTTCATGTGGCAAGACCATGTGGAAATGATTCAACATCACAATGGACATTTTTGGAGGAATTTTGGTTCTCATGGGCTGGATACCCCAAAGTGCTTTACGTAGACCCAGCACGGGGATATCTCAGTGAACAATGGATGGACAGGACACAGGAAGTCGGGATTTCACTGGTGGTTTCGGCTCGCGACTCGCATTGGCAGCTTGGAAGAGTAGAGGCACATGGTGGAGTTTTGAAAGGAATGCTTTCTAGAATGGATGCGGAAAAACCCATCAATGATGCAGAAACGTTTAGGAAGGCATTGAACCAAGCATGTTTTGCAAAGAACACACTCATGAGAAAGTCGGGTTATTCCCCTGAACAGGCAGTTTTGGGAAGGTCTTCACGTTTGCCAGGTTCGGTACTATCGGATGATGATTCTATCACACACGCGAAGGTGTTAGATGAGGGGCAAAATGTGTTCAAAGAAACCCTAGACATGAGAGAGTCGGCTCGAAAGGCGTTCATACACATGGATAATTCCAACAGCCTTCGTCGGGTTATGCTTCGTCGCAGTCGTCCGGTTCGTGCGGATTTCGAAGTCGGTGACCTAGTGTTGTATTGGAAACGTAAAGGAGGGAATATGCGTCGAGAAAGGGGACAGTGGTTTGGTCCTGCTAGGGTGGTACTGGTTGAAGGAAAAAGAGTCATTTCGCTAGTTCACGCGCATCGACTCGTTAGGGCAAGCCCGCAGCAGCTTCGTGCTGCATCAATGCGTGAATGGAAGGGGATCAAAGACAAAGAGGAGTTCAAGGTTCCCCCAAAGGATTGGGCAAGAAAGATTGGACATCAAGATTTTTTTGATTTGGATCCTGATGACCTTCCAGACCTGGACAACCAAGAATACACACCCAGTGAAAACTCCGGGGGGGCTGAGGCCTCAGGTGAACAGATTGTGACAGAACCGGAGGAAGAAGTAGCAGTTCCATCTCACAGGGGATCGATGGATGAAGGTGAAAACATACCCATAGACGGCCCATCCCTGATGACCCAGATGATGAATTGTTTGGTGACACAGTACTTTTCCAACAACACTTCTGCCAAGAGTATATGTGGGAGATGGACATCACTCCCGCGTTTTGTGTAGAACCTGAGCTTTTTGAAACGCCCGACGATTACATCCTAGCCGCAGTGAATGAACGAAAGAAGAAAACTGAAGTTAAATTGAAGGAACTGTCACAGGAAGATCAGAAGCGTTTCGCTGTGGCAAAGCACAAGGAATTGCGGGCATGGCTCCAGCACAAGACAATTCGTAAGGTCTCCCAGGGAAGAATTCCCGAGCACGCAATAATGCGGTGCAGGTGGTTGTACGTGTGGAAAACACCCTCAGGGGATGAACCACCAGAAGATATCTCCACGGAAGGGAAGAAAGCAAAGGCTAGGTTGATAGTGATCGGTTGGGAGGACCCGGAGTTGGACAGTGTGGTTAATGATGCTCCCACCCTCACAAAAGATGGTCGAATGGTGGTCCTTCAGGGTGTGGCAAGCCACAACTGGCCGTTGATTTCGTTTGATGTTTCAACCGCCTTTTTACATGGAAAAGGGGATGGACGTCCCTTGGGACTCGTCCCTGTTCCAGAAATGCGTGACGCCCTGGGAATGAGTGACACAGACCAAGTGCAACTCGATGGAGGCGCCTACGGCCGCATCGATGCACCATTTTTATGGTTCTGTGAGTTTAGAGACGAGCTCCTAGCACAAGGATGTCGACAGTCACCGCTGGATCCTTGTGTGTTCACCTACCACTCCCAAGATGGCTTCGAGGGCTGTCTCGGCATCCATGTGGATGATGGGATAGGTGGTGGTAGCGAGCAGTTTATGAAGATGTTGGCAAGAGTGGAGGCTCGTTTCAAATTTGGAGCTTTTGACAAAGGTGAATTCACCTACACCGGAATCAGATTTCGACAATGGGATGATTTCTCCATTGAGTACGACCAGATTGAGTACATTGAAAAGATAAAGCCCATTGTACTCGGAAGGGGTAGAAGAGACGACCTGGAGGCATTGGTGACTGAGGATGAACGAACGTCCTATCGAAGTCTGATCGGTGCGCTCCAATATGCAGCAGTTCACAGCCGACCGGATCTTGCAGCGAAGATAGGTGTATGTGAATTGCAGAGTGAGGTCACTAGGGCAAAAGTGAAGCATCTTGTTTTGGGAAACAAAGTGTTAGCTGAAGCAAAGCAGAATCGGGTTTCGTTGATGGTTTTACCCATTGCCCCAACTCACGTGACCTATTGTGCATTCTCTGATGCCTCATTCTCCTGTACCAAACACACCACCGCACAACAAGGGACCATTATTTTTGCCACTACTCCAGAGTTGTTGGATAACCAGAAGGCAGTGGTGGCTCCGGTGGCTTGGTACAGCAAGAAGATTCCAAGGGTAGTGCGTAGCACATTAGGTGCTGAAGCCGCCGCTTTGAGCAACTCAGCCGATCGCTTGATGTGGATTCGCGTGTTCTGGAAGACTTTGATTGACCCCGAATGTGATTGGAGGAACCCTGAGAAATTGCTTTCTGAAGGGAATTTGGGGGGATTGGTGACGGATTGCAAGTCCGCATATGACTTGTTGACACGGACCGCCATACCACAATGCTCGGAACATCGGACCACGATCGAGTGTTTGCTGATAAGAGAACGATTGCGAAACAACGCAGTAGTTCGATGGATAAATTCACAGGCAATGCTCGCAGATTGTCTCACAAAGACCATGGACAGCTGTGTTTTACGTGAGTGTTTGCGAACTGGCAGATATACTCTTCGTGATGAGGAATTTTTGCTAAAAGAAAGACTGTCTGCTCGAGAAAGGCTGAAGTGGATGAAACAACACCGACAAGAAAAAGACGACAAAGGCTTCGAAGATGCCATGTTGGTGAAACAGTCCGGCACTGTACAGCATGATTGCGATTTTTGGAGAAGGGGACCCGAAGGAGAGGTGATCCGTGTGCATGTTGTTCCAAGATATCAGCTCTATACACCCGTGGGGTCAGAAGACTGTCCTGTAGATCTTAGGAGACTTGAGATGTACCGGGATACTTTACTGAAAGGGGGAGGTGTTGAAAGAGATTATTGGACAGGAACGACGGCACACAAACGGAAACCCTTTCCTTGGTGTGGTGAGACAGTTTTTCGAATAAAAGAAAATTTTGACGAGTGTGAAACTCGCTAGTTTGGATGCTGTCTCACATGCCCCGCTCGACGGTTCGAACGTCCAAAGGGCGGGAGGGAGGCTAGTCACATAGAAGAAAAGGCGAGGCGGCCTTCGGTTAGTAGGAACAGGGTTTCCTGAGATCCTAGGGTAGAGATCAACAATATACATATATATATATATATAACACATACGATAGGAAGCATTTTGGCTCAAGACGCTGGGCTCGAGACGTTCTGGCTGCCCCAAGACCAGGCTGTGCATCCCTTTCCTATCGTCAAGCCTGGCATCGGGGACCTGGATCCAGAGGGTCTACTTCCTCCACCTCAAGAAGGCCTAGGAGGTAACCATGCACTCCTGCAGGGCCTACCAGGGCCTACCAGGGCCCACAATGCAGGAACTAGATTTGGGAAGACCGCATCAAGCCTCACACACGTTGCAGGCTTTGCAGACTGGAGTGGCCCTCCTGGCCTATGACTACTCTCTCGCAAGGCGAAGGCAAGAAAGGCAGAGCTTGGAGGTTTCGATGACAACTTCTAACCCCCCAAGTGCCTCCTCCTTTTGGGATCACCACCCAGAAAAAGAGTCATACCTAAGTCATTCTAAGCTCTTAGAATCTCCACATCTCTCAAGATCCACTTCGCCAAGCTTTCCGCGTCCGATGACACTCGTGGGTTCGATGGGTCGCACCTCCAGGGATGGCAGCAGCGTTTCCCAGAACTCCGAGGCTGTCTTGAGTGCTCGCCAGAAGCTCAAGGGCTCCTGTGAAAGGCTGCAGCGCTGGCTTAAAAAGGCCTTGGATATAAGAAAAAACACATAGTACGTATAGGAAAACAATGGAACACACAACATAGGAAAGCAAAAAGCATCCCAAAGCTGCTGTATTGAGATATTGAACGCAATTAACAGACTGCCAAAGCTGTCGACGGTCTCGACCGTCAGGTCGCACTCTTCCTCACCACCAGTAGAGCATCGACTAAGACCCACCTGCACGTAGGAGTGACGCCAAAAACACACGCATGTGAAAGGATGATAAGGGATGTTTAAACTAGTTTATCTTCTCCATCTTGCGTTCAACGCTCCTTTGTCACACGTGGACATTTAGTGAACCTACATGAACCCTGACTTGTTTTCTCTTAACAATCAATCAATGCAAAACGACCAATCGTGCATGATGCAACATAGGTTCATTTCGCCATGCCACTGTGAGGAATGTCTGATCATTTACGGCCGGCCAGTCACTCACTGAGCCGAAGCTGTTGATGGGATGACTCACTGAGCTGCTGAAGGCCAGGGGACCCCGTGGTGTGAACTTCGGCCAGTGGACACCGTGTGGAATCGCACATGGAGATTTGAATGACATCTACATTTACCTGGAAGCCCAAAAGAAAGCAGAAAGACATGGATGGAACTCGTCAGTCCCAGCCAGAAATCCTATGTAAAGGATCTAAAGCAAGCCATATTGGAACAACGCGTTGTTTCTGGTTGGGACTGAGTTTCCAGGTACATCTACCAATTAATCACTGGTGACTTCGGACTCCGGGGCCATCATTTGTCTCCCCATTTGGACCCCCAGTCCCAACCAGAAGTCCAGTTCTGGATGTTCCAAGTTCTGGCGCCAGAGCGCCATAGATCCTTATCTCATTGAAAGTGGTTGTCCAATTTCTGGTTGAATTTTGGGGTTTGTCTCCTGTCTGGCCGCATGAAATCAAACAGTGCCTGGTGAGAGTCTCTTTGATCCGCTTTCGGAAATGGCTCTGATGCCACGAATGAGGTGAACTCTAACAAGGATCATGTTCAGGGTGCAAACCCAAGTCTTACCAACTTTTGGTCTTCCATCTTTCATATGCTGTAAGCACCATGAAGGGACTTAGTCCCACGAACTATTAGGCATCTGTGGGTGGTCCAAGGGTCTCTTGTATTCGCGAGGGGCTGAGGCTGACAGCTTTTTCACCCCCTGATCAGGGGAGAACTGCGCAAACCATGAAACACTGCAAACATCATCAACAACTATGAACCGATTGAACAATGCAAGACATCAACCTCATCATCAAATTCATCAAACACTCCATGCCATCCACCAAAGACCTACTAGTAGCTTCTTGCTACTAGTAGTTATGCCCTTGTTACTAGTAGCGATGCCCTTGTTACTAGTAGCTTCTTGCTGCCTTGCTACTAGTCCCAACAAAAACCATCTAACACAGATCCGTTCCTGTTCCCCACCTCAATCGCCTTGCCAATCCGCTGGAGCTCAGGGCCCCCAGGCCAGTTCTTGGGCTCGACTGGACGGCGAGGTCACAGCGAGGTCAGAACCCCAGGATGAAAAAACAACATAAAACAACAAGATGGAACCCACGCACCCGAATGCAAACACTCAAACCATTTTTGACGCTCTTGTAGGAGACACTTTTGTGGGACACTTTTGTAGGACACATTCTTTTCGGAAGCCTTTGTGGGACACTCTTGTGCACTCTTGCGGAACACTATTTCAGGACTCTCTTGTAGGACACTCTTATTTGATCCCCTTGTAGGAAATTCTGGTAGGACACTCTTGCCGGACACTCTTGTGGGACACTCTTGTATGTCACTCGTGGGACACCCTTGCGGAACACTCTTGTAGGACGCTCACACTCTTGTCGGACATTTTTGTGGGACACTCTTGCAGGGCACTCTTGTGGGATACTCTTGTATGTCACTGGGACACTCTTGTCAAACACTGTTGTGGGGCACTCTTGTAGGACACTCTTGTGGGCACTCTTGTGGGGCACTCTTGTATCTTGTAGGACTGTCTTGTGGCACACGGGACACTCTGGTAGGACACTCTTGTGGGACACCCTCGCGGAACACTCTTGTGGGACTCTGCTGGGACTCTTGTAAAACACTGCTACTAAAGTCTCCCCATGCATGTCCCCAAAACTAGCGTTTCGCACGAGACTTCCTCAAATACTCACACTTCAAGTCTGCAAAAGGAGCGCTTCGTACGAAACTTCCTCAAAAACTCACACTTCGAGTCCGCAAAACGAGCGTTTCGTGCGAGACTTCCTCCAAACGTCGCACGTTTCGAGCCTGCAATACGAGCGCTTCGCACGAGACTTCTTCCAAAGTTCATGCGTCAATCCTTCAAAACGAGCATTTCGTACGAGACTTCTCCAAAAGTCAAGTCTCCAAAACGAGCATTGCATATGAGACTTCCTCCAAAAGTCAAGCGGGAACCCCCGTCGGAGCACACACATCAAGCAGCCCTGCCAAGCAGTTTCGCGATTCCACCCCCTCCAAACAACGCCCGCCCACATGCCAATCCCAATGTCAAAGCGACGTTCACCTCCACACAACTCGCAACCTCACGATTCCCTGCGCCTGCCACGCAAACTTGCGCGTCCACACCTCCAACACGCACAAAGTACTGCGCCTGCCACGAAATATGACCTCCGCCACGCCTCGCAACCTCACGACTCCCTGCGCCTGCCACGAAAATGGCACTTCCACACCCCAGAAACTGCACAAAGTACTGCGCCTGCCTCGAAAAGTGACAATATCATATCATGTTCGCTACTTCCACACCTCAAGAATTGCACAAAGTACTGCGCCTGCCACGAAAAGTGCCAATGTCATATCATGTTAGCTTCAGAAAAATTTGCACCACACCCCACGTTTGGAATGATTTCGGCCTGTTCTGAGCACACTCCCATCCACCAAAATCGCCACTTCAGCTGAGAC